GCATAATTTCTTCACTTGTTGAGGCTACGACGTTCATAACTTTACTGTAGAAGTCATGTCCTGACAGCCACCCGTGACATTTGCGTGTGCACTCGAATGCATTTCGAAAATTGCAAAAAATTCTTAACAAAATTGCAAGCGGGTTGCAAAAGAAGGATGTGGGTTGCGCCGCCATCGGCCTGATGCGTGTGTCATTCCACGACTACAAGTATTTTGCGCTTTCCGTTGGGTTCTCGTTTTCCGTTTACCGGCGTTTTAAATCAAGCGAAATGTTTGCATGTCCCAGGGGCCTATATATAGTCCATATAAAGCTACACTGATAGATATAGATTATAGGTTTGTGTGTGTTTGTGAGGACCTGCATTGACGTCAAGCTTTAATTATTTAATAGTCAAGAGCTGTGGTTTTGGCAGCCATCACGATAAAAAAGGTTAATTAAACTCTATGGGTAGCATGTCAAAATGTTTTTTTTTTCTTCTGGTTTAAATTTGGTGTTCGATTAGTTTTCCACTTTCTATCTGAATTTTGTGGAATTTTTTCGAGTTTTTGGGTTTCCATTGAGTGGAAAGTGGAAAAGTTTGTGTTTAAAGAACAGTAAGAGAACAATTTAATTTGATAGAACATTAGGCCCTGGCATTTCCTGAGGTATTTATCATTCCCAGCAATTAATAAACATTAAACTTCAAATGAAATAATTTAGCTTTGAGATAAACGACCATAATCTGCCCCTGGCACACAAGTCAACTGAATTTTAATTAAATATTTAAGACCATCAGAGGACGTATGGCAATTGAGCGAAATTATTTAGTCGCACGGACAACAGGGCGTGTGGAAAGGGCCAACGTTTTATTTATCATGCTGTTTGTAAAGCATTTTATGCGTTATATATATATATTTGTCTGGGTAATTCAATATGCTCTGTGCTTCAATACAAAACGGTAGACAATCAATTCGATGCCGGGTCTCGTATTTTACAATCAATTGCCCGAGCCGAGCACTTGTAGCATTTAAGCCATACTTTCAGTTCTTCTTTGTTTGCTTATCCTTCAGTTTGTTTACCGTATACATGGTATGTATGTATATATCTGTGTGTTTACGAGTCGAAAGTCAAATCAGGCCATTTATCAAGTCAAAAGTCCATGGGGGCCCTTGGACCATTATAAGGGGGCCATTATAGCCCCCACGCAACGCAGGTCAGACGCTGCTCTGTTTGCGCTCATTTTTCAAGGCATGTGGAAAGTTTACCCTCTTTGGCCTTATTTTCCTTTATATATAGATGGATATATGTGTATATATTGGTACATCTGTGTCTTTGCAATTATATTGAATTTAAAGCACTTGTTTTTGCCAATTTTCCAAATGCGAATTTCAATTGAGCGTCTCCCTACCCAACCCCCAGTAAGTTTTCTTCGCAACCAGAAAAGACACACAAACAAAATACCGAAAAATACAATGAGGGCAGAACAACTTTTCTTTTCTTTGGGTCTTTGGGTAAAAAATCAGCCAAATGAAATACGAGTACTCGAATTTCAACAATAATATAAACAACAAACTTCCAGGTAAGCCAAAGGAGTAGCCAAAAAGGTAAAGTTTTCTGCAGAAAAATCAGTGATTGTTTTCCTTAAATGAGGCCAAAGATTTGTATGCTCTTTTGGAGGCAATAATAATGTTTGTGAAACGTTTTCAGGAGCTACAAATAATAAAGTTTCGTAATTTAGGGAATACATTTAAAAAACTGCAAAGAGTTTAAAGATTTCTTTTTGTTCAACTTAATTGTAAATATTTGTAACGACCTGTTCCCCATTGTTTTAGGGCATTAGGGCAACTTTTCTTTCATAATTCCATGTTCTTGAATAAGTCTTTGGCCCCTTAATGAGACCACACCCACGAGGCCAGCCCCTGTCGTGTTGGCCCATAATTTGATATGGCAAATTGATATCAGTATATCCATATACACTACATATGTGTATAAACACAAATATATACGCATATTTGTATCTTTATCTTTGGCCGTTGCTGTTGCTGTTGCTGGTGCTCTTGCCGGAATTGTTAATGCCACTTGGCTCTCACTTTGCATAATGAAAAGTTGGCCAAGTTCAGACATTGTTATTGCTGTTTTAGCCGCTCGCCTGTACTGGCTATACTGGCTGCTTCTGCTCTTCTCTTATCCTCGGCGAGTGCTTTCAAATTAAGGCTACAAATGTCGCATGTCTTGCCAAAATACAATATGTGTATACTTATGTATGTACATGTTGTATATAACATTTTAGGAATATGTACAAAACAAAATACACCAAATAAAGAGAGAGAATAATAAGCAGAGGACTTGGCCATGGCCTGCACCAGAACCATAGGCAGAACCAAAAGCCGACAACAATTACAGGCTCATGTTTGTGGGGCTCTTTGTAGCTGTTGTTTTTTTCGTGTCATATAACAACTTTTTGCAATAAATCAAATGTTGCCAACATGAAATGATTATTTATGATTAAGCCTAAACACTGTGTCTACATTTAGGCAATCTATACATCAATTTATATGTACATTTATCCACACATATTGCATGTTTTATGTGGTTTAATTTAAGCATAGTTTGGGGTACATTGTGCAGCATTTATTAGGCAACCACTTGCCACAAAAACAAAGTCAACAGCTGACAATGAAAAGTTGCAACAATGGCGGAGACACACAACATTGTTAACCATAAGATATTGTATGAACAAAATGAAGCACAAGGCCAGGCAAGCTTCAGCCAGACAATGGCCGTAAAGGAGGCAAAGAACCTCAACGAATGCTGTTCACTCTGATGCTATGGTGGCGCCACAATATGCATTGTGCTGCCCCCAGCTCCATTTCTATATACATATGCTTTTAATACATACGAGAATATATATATTGTATACTGTCGTATAAGATTCCCTTTAGAATCCCTGACTCTCACAATGCACCAACGCTTGATGCGGAAGCAAGCATTTGTAAAATTCTTCGCGAATGGCTGCCGATTGCTAGATGTCTAAGATGACTCTTTCTACCTGTTTGGCATGCATTCAAGACTGCTGTCACCCAAACACACACACTCACACTCACACTCGGCTCCTCCTATTCGTACAAATAGACAGCAAAATTCTCCTCCTGTCTGCTGACATGTTGGTCACATGTCAAACGGTTCGATTTTTATACCCCGTAATCGAAGAGGCGTACAGAGGATGTGATGTTTTCGTGTAGAGGTGCTGCAGCGGCAACAGGAAGGATGCCTTCGAGTGAACAATCACGAATCACAGACCCCTACAAGTGCTACAGCACACAGATTTCGGTTTCCTACCAGTGTAAGACAGTTATTTCGATTGTTTTTCACTTTTAAATTCAGCTACAACATTTTCCACTTATCACAGAGTAAAATCCCAAAGATCATGAAGACTCCCTGGTCCAAAACAGCTCCAGTGCTCCTAGCAGCTTCTCATCTTTTCACATAAAAAACTTTTGGCTCCGCCAGGAATAAATGGCAGAACTACGAGAGTAGTTCAGGCAGGCGGTGTGGGAGCAGGGTGGATAGAGGATGATGCCGATGTGACAGCCACGCCGGATTGACATTGCTCTTGTACCTCCTACAAACATACATACATATATCCCCGATGCCTGCCAACCTTTTGCGAGTGAATTGCATTGTAGTCATTGCACCTGTTTGGAATGTCATGCTCCATGCTGAATAGCATGTTGCCGCCGGCATCAACGGATGTCGGATGCCGCCCTACACAAATGGGGAAATGTTCCGAGTCCGAATCAAAGTTATCATTTACAAGAGGGAACATAAATCTGACAAGCAAAAGGCTTACAGAAAAGTTAAAGTGTGCTCAACATTAAATGGTTGTTTAGCTGCAAAATGTGTTTCCTCCCATAAATGTCTACTCTTTAATGAATGCTTCGTCTTCGTTTTGGAACAGCTCACTCAAATGCAGCTCATGTGTCAACGGAGCTTAGGAACCGTGGCATGAACTATGCAAATTAACGCGCTTGTCAGCGTTGCAAGCAGGCAGAAAACCCTTTTACCCTCTTAACTCCTTGGCATTTGGGATACACTTTAGAGAGGGGTACTCAGATTACCAATGAATTACCAACTAAATCTGAAGATTTCTTCAAATTTACAGACTTAAAAGAGTAAGGAAAGACTTGCAGTAGTTATTTTAGGGTATTTTCCACTTCGGTTTTGTGCTTCCAAATTTGTTCACTTGTTCTATTAGGAGTCTGCCGTTGTTCCAGTCTGGAAATGCATGCATCTGACGCGTTTGCTCAGCTGATTGCGGTCCTTATGACACAGTCATAGAGGGGAAAAGTGGGGACTACGTACCCATATCTCTTGCACACACGCACGCTGGCCATGTCCATGTCCTAAAGCAGAGAAAACAGAGCGGGACGACGACATGCCATAACAAGAAAGCAAATTATATTTTCATATAATGCGACGTATGAGTAATCCCCCCTTCCGAGCAGAGATAGCCGCGCATGAAAATGTCATCGTCAGTGCCCTCAGTCTGTCGGACTAGCGCTCGTAACTCACATAACTCTCATTTATTTATAGAGTCCTCGAGAGCTGAGTCGCTAATGTGATTTCCATTGGCAGGACGAGATTGGACGAGAGGATTAACAGGAAGCGGGCGAATGTTAAATCAAAATGGAGATCATCATAAATGTGTGCGGAAATTGCTTAAATATTTATAGACATAAATGGTTGAACGGGTGCTGGCTAAAGTAAAGCATATAAATTAAATTGAATTTCGCATTCAAAAGGCATGCCATTAAAGCTGAAAGTGTCACAAACTGTATTGGATTGAATGTGGTTTAAATGAATGGTAAATGAATGAAAGTATACGAGTATGTGGTATAGTTGGCAGCACACAGACAATGCAAGCACTTACATAAATATTTATGTATACATATCTCTTATGGTTATTTATCAATTAGTTGGGGGATTATAATAGATAGACTGAAGGCTCAACAACACTTACGTAAAATACGGCACAAAACACCTTCAGCCAATTAGTTAAACAAATGCAATGGACAATGCACGATGCTCGAACGGTGTTGATGATATTTTTTGGGACTGGATTTTGGTATGATTGGGGCACATGCACAGCGATTTCTTGGACACAAATACAGAGGTGGAGGCGTGGGCGTAGACAGAGACACAGGCGCACAATGGAACATGGTGTGTGGCAACAACAATCTTTCTCTCTCTCTCTCTCCACTCGCTCGCTCTCTCTGTCGCTTTCTCCCCTTTCTTTTCTTTTCCGCTAAATGTAGACAAACATGACGTAAACCCCAAAAAGTATGCTAGCAATTCCTTGGGATTATGTTTGCTTCTAGCACTTAATAGAGGGTTTACTTTTGTAGCTGTTCATTGAGTATTTCTGTTTTCCATTTAATTTTGATTTAGATTTCATGGACACATTTCCTAGAAATCAACAAAAATAAATCAATTTAATGTGAAGAAGGCATTCAAGCCTCTGTCTAGGCGTGGCGGCAGTCAGACACGACGACGGCGACGGCGACGGCGACGACATCAAGGCCATTAGGCGGAGGGCCCAAAGTACAAACAATAGCCACAAAATGTATGTCACACAGAGACACATGCATGGACACGCACAAACAAAGACACTACGCCGATAGGCACGAATCAAAGCAACTCTGCTGATCGAATAATCCACTGTGCCCACAGATTACACAACACTGGTCCCTGCAGTTCACTTTCTCACTCAAGTGGCACCACGGCTGCAACTGTAACTGTAACTTTAAGCCCCGACTGTCAGTTCAGTCGATATTGCAATTGGCATTGGGGCCTTTGGCTTTTGACTTGGCTAATATCAAGCGGCAACAACACGAACACTAACACAAACACTATCTTGCATTTGGGAGGACGACTCATCAGAGTCTGTCGTGTGTCGTCGTTTGGTTGTTGCTACCACCAGCGATTGTTGTTGGTATTACTTGATTCAGAACTCTCTGGTTTCCAAGCGCCACAAACACGTCTGTTGCACACGAATGCCGAGGACGGACTGAAAGCGAACTGAAACAAAACTCCACTAAGGACTCGCTCGGCACACTCGGCTGGGTGCTGCTTCGGCTCTGAAGGACTCGACTGGCACTTGAGTGAGTTTTTGGTGCCCAGTTTTGAGTGACTTACCCTTCCTCTTCCACCCACCAAAAGCCTCTTTTTGGCTTCCTGCCATTTGCCGCTTGCATTTTTCTTTTTAAGTTTTTTTCCCTGGCTGTGCGACAAGACACATTTCCGGCTTCCGTTTGGCATTAGCGGGTGGCGATAAGCGGTGGGGGTTAAGGGGTTAGCATTTGCCCCCAAAAATGATCAAATTTATACACCTACGATAATTTATTTATTTTGGTTTTTATTAAATTTTCCACAATTGGCCCAACAATCATTAAATTTGCATACAGATTTCACGCCATCAAACAGCGGATAGGGGTGGCAGTCCTCCAGGGGAATGGATTGCAAATGAGCGGGGTTGCCGAGGGGATCGATGGATGAATGGATGATGGAGGCGCGAGGTTTACATTGATACCCTTTGCAGAGGGGTGCCATGATTATGTAAAAACATAAAATGTAAAGCAGAGAATGGAGTATAACGTAGAAGCTTCAGCTTGAGTTTCATCACAGGCCAACTCTATTTAATAAATGTATTTTCCATCAACAAATATCTTTGGAACCCTATCTAAGGGTATCAAATACTTCGCTGCCTGGTTGCCTTTCTCTTCTGTTGTTTATGGGCGAGACGTAACGGTTAAGCGCACAGCAAATGGCCAAAAGGTGTCTGTCTGTCGGTCTCCCTCTATTGCCCTACCCTGGCCCTATCCTGCCTTTGTGTTTGTGTTTGTTTTTGTGTTTGTGCATTGAAGGCAAACACATGTCTCGCTGCTGCTGCTGTTGTTTTTGCTACTACTGCTGCTGAGGGGCAACCTGTTGGTGCCTGTGCGTATAAATTTAACTTACCCTTGTCCTATGTATGGGTGTATAAACGTTTATGTGTAAGGTCGTATCAGTGCAAGAGAGTACCTGTGCTTTCTTCTTTTTCTTGCTGTTGCTGCTGTTGGAAAATCCACTCTGGCTGGCAGAGCACCAATGGGTCGTAAGAGCAATTATTTCTCTAATGACTCTGGCTTATAGCTTAACCCTAGAAAGGCAGTACAAGGCCATCAGGGTAATTTAAGCTATATCGGAGCCCCAAGAGTATTTGCCACTTTAATGGAACATAATTTAAATGTAATTTGCAACTTTTTTGGCATACCGCACCAAAGAGTCGTATGCGCAATAATGTAAATGAAAAGTAAATTCATGTAGATAGTATGTAAAAGTTATGTATATTTCTGGTAAAAATGTAGAAGTCAAGTATTTCGTGTAGTTATGTTTCCCAAATGTAGATACCGTGTAGATTAACTACACATGACATTTTTCCCACAGCTGCTGTCATTTCCGTAGAAAGTTTAACGCCCATTTGGCGTTACTACTCTCCCCAAAAAGCTGTGGGGTTGTCATAGCATAGAATTTATTCCGTACTGAAACTCGTATTGAACAAACAAATTTAGACACAAATTAAGTGATATTTTCGCAATAGTTTTTACCAATATAAAAGGCAGAGGACCTACAACCGCCTCACCATGTCCTTGAATAAGCAGCACACTTATGCATCGACGGTCCGTCGCACGATTGTGGCGCGGGCCAATCGGCCCATAATTAATCGCATGTTGCGCTCCGCGCGCATGGAGTCCGTCACCAAGGATCTGGCCGCGTACCAGAAACGCACCGAGGTGAAGCCCAAGCTGTTGCAGGTAGAGCAATCGACCAGCAGTGGAATGAGCGGCTTTTCCCAGCTCAAAGAGCGCAAAGGGCTTGAGGGCAAGGCCTACTGGAACGAGGTGATCGATGAGGTGGTGAAGGCAGCCTCATGCCGCACCCGTCCCCGGATTCCAGTGGTAGATTACTCGCTGGTGCTGCCTCCCCGACTGCGCGAAAGGGTGAAGCGCATTCAGGACTATGAATTTTCCAAGTCGGATGATGATATTTACATACGGGATGATATGCGGGAGGAACGACCCGAAGACTATTTGAGTGCCAGCACCCCCGACAGTGAGGAGGAGGAGGCTCCAGTTGTAAGGCTCTGGATAAAAGATTCTTAATTGTCCTCCTTAATTTTCTTTTATCTTATTTTTGAACAGCTCATCAATCTGAAACGGAAGGTCGTCGAAGAGCAATTCAATGAGAGCGACCACTCCGACATTGTGCGCATGGATCATGAGTTTGTGAAGTTCGATCTGCGGGTGGATCAACCCGTGGGCCACAGCTATCGGACTGTGGACAAGTCCAGCTGGTATGCCAAATTCCTGTGCGCTCCCAGCGACAAACGTGTCTGCTGGCAGTCCCGCGTGGAGCATCCCGGCCAGAGTCACTCCATGTACACCCTTGACGAGCAGGCGGAAGATCTCATGGATGCGGCAAGTGCACTTTGGAGGCTTAACGGCTCGAAACTCCATCTAATCTTTGTATAATTCCTGCTCTAACAGTCGGCAGAACGTTTTGTGGAGTGGTTAAACTCTTTTGGCACCAAGGAGAGCAGCCTCACGCCCGAGAAGGTCAAGAATCTGTTCTCCATCAAGGGAGATCGCACACTGATGGCCTCCGTTAAAACCGATCCCAAAGAAGTGAATGCCATTGCCCAGACTGTGGCCGACAAATGGAATAAGCCTCATGTAAGTATGCGGAAAATACCTAAAGCATATCTTGCTAATGATCGTTATTGCCTTTACCAGATGGCCATCGAGCTCAAGTATGAGAAGCACATCAACGATCAGGCCTCACGTGTGAACAAGGCACCCATCATCAGCGCGTTTGGGCGCACAGTTCCGCTCATGGAACGCCCATGGGTAAAACGATCAAATGACGTAGCCATCAAGACTGTTTATCCGGAGGAACTGTTGACCCGCGAGAAGATCTTCAAGGGCATCACCCATCTGCGCAGCACCACGGCTCTCATTGACTTTTATCTGGCGAATCCCAAACTTCCACGTCCCGACTATCTGCTCAAGAGCGGGGACTTTGAGGTGTCCAGTGCCAGTGAATCGGCGATGGAAGTGCCGCTCTATGAGCTCCTAGGATTGCGCTATTGATGCTCAAATTTTATGTTCTTCCGAATATCTATACTATAATAATGTTCAACAACTTAAGTGTAGAGGATCGTCTAGAGGGTCAGAGTCGTTTGTATCCACGGCAGATAGGTGCCCACATTCACGTAGACTCCGGGCACACCGGCCTGGGCACAGCCAATGCCCCAGGCCACCAATCCCACGACATACCACAGCCCGTTGCTGGTGCACACAAGCGGAGAGCCACCGTCCCCTGTGCAGGCATCCTTGCCAGCTTCGCCGCCAGCGCAAATGAAGGATGTGGGACTGAGAGCAAAGGATGCACCCAATCGAGTGGCCTGCAGCGCAGCCTGGCAATTGGCATTGGGTATCAGTGGGACATCCACCTGCCGCTGTATGGCCTGGTAGGCACCCGTCGGACCAAAGTCATTCTTGCCCCAGCCGGCCACCCAGCAGCGTTGGCCCACAAAACTCGTGGTTGGCAGGCAGATGGTGCCCACGGTGGACTTGCTGGTGAGGGATACGGGCTGGACCAGCTTCAGAATGGCCACATCGTTCTGCAGATTGTTGGGATTGAATGCGGGATTCACATACACATTGGACACGAACACATCCTGGGCGGGAATCGGTTCACTTGTGCTGCTCGCATCCCACTCCCCCAGGCGCACCTTAAACGATGTCAAACTGCATCTGAATGAAAGGACATTCGGAAATGAGGAAATTCCTTTGAACTCACGCTAAATTGTAGACCTTGTGGGCAGCCGTCAGGACATGCTGGGCCGTGATCAAAGCCCCTCCACCCAGATACACATCGGCGGTTGTCAGCAGCGCCGCCTGCCAAGGGTATGCCCCGAAGCTTGCCTGTCCCGCTCCGGCCTGGGAGGAGCCCAGTGGAGGCGGGAAACGGCGACCACACTGATAGCTTCCCGCCTGGCAGCAGGCCACCTGTCCATAGCTGCAGGTCAGAGTAGCAGAAGTGCTTGGGATCGATGGCTGTACGGAGATTATATAGTGGATTAGAGAAGTGTTTATCCTTGAAGGACTCACTTACAAAGGCTCCCGTGTTGACGATGCGTATGTCCAGCTGTCCGCTGCCATCGCTCGGTACGGTGGGCAGTGGATTCGCACAGGATCCGGGCGGTACACACCGGCAGTAGCTGGTTCCGCCTGGCGACACAATGGCGGGACTTGGCCAGGGTCCGGGCAATTGTGGAGGCACCAGGGTGCCCACAATCAACTGTCTGGTGAGTACTTAAGAGAGGAGAGGCTCATTGCAAAGGGGACCTCAGCGATTCTGAGCTGAACTTACTGGTATGATTCGCCGAACTGGCCACATCGCTTGGTTGTGGCTCATTCTCCGCCTCCTGCACTGGCCCAAAACTCCAGCCATGTCCGCCTTCGAAGTGGAGCAACTGCAGCAGCAAAGGCAGCAGCAACAGGCAACTAAACTTTGTCATAGCCCTGACCAAAGACAACTAAAACGAGTCACCAATACTGCCCCTAACTATATAGGGTCGGGGGTTTCATACTGGTTGTGGTTCTGTTCGCCCCGAACAATAAATTGCCCGACCAACGGCCTCCTCAGCTCAGGGATTTTCCAACAAACTGCATAGAGAGCCACAAAAAGCAATCATAAAAAGCAAATTAGGGCGTAAATTGTTGGCAGATGGCAACAACAACAACAACAACAACAACAACAAAAACGAATACAAATTACTCTAGAAATATGTTTACATAGTAATGAAATTTCCAACCAAAATTATAAGTTTTGAGTTCGCGTAACCACAGGGGGAAAACTGAGTAAAATGATTAATAAATACAAAGCCCATGCTCAAGTCGATATGCTTCACTTGGACACAAACCCAATGAGAGCCAACGCCAGTGAAAAACTTCATACAAGAACTCCATTGAGAAATAATCGTACTCGTATGTGTGTGAAATATTAAGCGAATTAACTCTTGAATCGCCGTGTGGACAGCTCGATAATTTCATTCAGCTCTAAATTCCCATTGTTATGCGGCACATATTTGTGGGTGCTCCATATTCAGTGTGTCATTTAATTTGATTGTAATAACTTAATGGTTTAATTGGTAACAATTTGATGTCGATTTTTAGTTTTGACACTTGCTGCGGTTGGACGCCCCTGCAAACAAACACTCAACCCTCAAGCAGCGCCGGCACCCACTGAAACACAGAATGGTTAACAATTTAGCACTTGAGCTTGGCAACATGACACATTCCGTTCAATCTAACAACTAAAACCCCCCTAAAGCTGTTTGGAAATGTTTATTAATCTTGAAACTAAAACCCCTGTAGAGCTGTTTTTTTGCAGATAGCAAAAGCTTGCTCTCTCTTTTCCCGCTTGTCGCTCTCTATTTCAGAGCTTTCATATCAGGCACAACGTTGACCAATGTTCCATTTGTAATCAGTGCGTTTGGCAAGGCGGAACAGAATGGGCCACGTTGAACTGGATTACAGGGCCATACCCAAACTGCATGGCTGTAAAAACTATTGGCAGTGGCGCATCCTTATGCGCACCTATCTGGAGAGCATCGAGCTCTGGAAGCACAACGATCTCAAGGATGTAAGTCGCTACTCCACTTTCCTTACTCTCGAGCACTGTTATATTTGTGGGTTATTCTCCCATAGACTCCACAAACAAAATTTCTGATCTTGGCCAGCGTGGAGGCCGATCTGATTGAACCCGCCTATGATGATCAGAGCTGCAAATATATATTCGATAATTTGGAGAGCCGTTTCTCAGCCTATAATTAAATTATAATGGTAAATAAATTGTACGAAGTATTTAATAAAAATGAAATATTCGTTTGTTCTGCTTGGTGAACTTTGCCCTTTGGCCTGACTTCTTTGCTGATTTCTTTTATGTGCTTTTCCATTGAAGTTTTCGTTTTAATTCTTCTTTTCTTTTTCATCAGACTTTTCTCTTTATTTGCATCCATTTTCACCGTCTTTTACACACATCTGATTAATTCCATTTCTGTCATCTTCTTTGGATTCTTTGGTCTTTTTTAAATCTTTTTTTCCTCATCCATCACCATCCTTTACACCATTGCACCTGATACATTGCCTGACTTCTTTCCCCTGCCGATTTAGACATTTTCTTATTTCTATTCTCCAAGCTTGATGATGAAATATTAACTAAAATGATCATAGCAAAAGTGGATTTTATTCTCTCATTTTGGACATTTTGTCATTTAGTTCATCAAATATTGTGGCGATACCCATCTATTTTGCTTCATTTTTTTTGTTTTACATAATGGCAAAAAATTTGTTTTAATATTAAATAAAAATTAAATATTCGTTTCTTCTATTCGTTGTTATCTAATCCTTCTGTTATTTTTGTCCTTTTTCGTCGGATTTTGCTAATCTTTTGCATCCTCCATCGCCTCCTTTTCCACCCCTTCCTGATCTGCCATCTTCGCCGTCTTTACCACAGCTCTGATTGTTTCCCTTCTCCATCTTATTCCCATATTTTTCTGGAGTCTCTTTTTCGTCTTCTTTGGCTTTTTGATCGTCTTTTTTTTTTCCTCCGTCACCACCCTTTCCGCCACGCCCGCCGCCTCCGCCACCACCGCCTTGACCACCACCATTTCCACCATCGCCACCTGTACCACTTCCTCCAGCGATGATGCGTTGACTACATTCCTCCACCGATTCGGACATTCTATGACTGTATAATTTAGAGATTTAAAAACAAATATTTTGTAGATAATGGAGCTGTTATAAACCAAATCCAGGCATGGTGATGAAAACTTTTTGGGACTTTTATTTCTTGGCATATGGCTCATCAAATGATCAACACGCTTAATCTTTAAATTAAAAACAATTGATCTATTTTGTTGGCATCTCTAACGTTGAGATTCTTGGGTTTTTTATTCAAAATGATTTTGGTGTTGTGTCAACTAACGTGTGAAGGGCCCCCGAAGGGTATCTTAGGTTACTATCAATTCTATCGACTCATGTACAATGCATTGCTCTCTCTCGCTCTTTCTGCTTAATAAATACGATTATAATTTAAGGCACTATTTAAAGCACTACAAATACAATTCTAGTCCAATCAATTCAATTCCTTGAGCGCAAAGGGGCGCTACACGTCTCTCTCCCTTCTCTTTTTTGCGTGGGGAGCTACATAACAAAACAAATCTGAACAAAATATCTCTCATGTAAGTAAATCCTATATGTACAAGCTAAAAATTTGATGCGCATGTGGGATTGTGTGGGGAGTCAACCATTGCTGTTCCCCAACCCATTGTGATATCTGATTTATGTTTGACTAGCTCGCCTCGCGCCTGGCGCCTGCCTGATGCCCATGCTGGGATCATAGAAGTAGATGCTGGGCGACCACGGTCTCTTGGCTCCGACCAACATCTCCGGATGGCTGGTATGTGCCACCGTTTTGCAGTTGCCCACAGGCAGATCATCGCCTGGAAAGTCCTGGCCTATTGCCTGGGCCCGCAGCACAATCTGATGCCCCTTTGTCACATCCACACATCCCACCACAGCGGCCTCGTGTCGGTAGCTGTAAAGGCGACTCCTTAAATTTCCATCCACGTAAATCTGCATAAACGAAATCCCGAATTAGAAACGTTTTTTGTTGTATGAAATAGTAAGGTTTTGTCTCACCTCGTATCCGGCAATGCCGGCGCAGTCCTGCACATCCCATTTGATGTAGAGAGCGGTGCAGCCCAAACTGGAGACAGCGCTGATGGTCACGGGGAAGCCTGTTCCCTGCTCATTGCCCAAGCAATTTGCACTTACATCCTACAAAATATTGCTTGAAATGTATTTTCTACACAAAAAACAATCATTTGTTGCAGCTTACCTTAGCCTTTGCCTTTTTGTTGTCCAGCACATGGTCCATGACCTCCAAATCCACAATCATAGAGTCGATAAAGTATTTCTAAAATAAATTTCAACCATCAATGGAAACATCTACTGGCGGGTTTTCCTCTCTCACTTACCATTTCACAAGCTGGATCGCACAGGGCCGAACGCAGAGTCTTGGACACGGTTTTGCATTCACTTTCGGACTTGAGGGCCCGACAATGACAGCACTGGCAATGCCCTGCCCCTTTTGGGTCTCCATATGGTCTGGTCGCCACCTCTGAGCTCTGACATGACTGAGATGGTGCCAGTTTATCACAGGCACCACAGTCCACCAGGGCCTGGCGCAGCAGCTTCTCGCACAGCTGACGTGCCTCTGGACTGAGTGGTCCGTCGGGCAGGAGATTGCCCAAATCCGAGGCACAGAGCTCCTGCTTGCTATCGATCTTCTTGCCTTTATCCACAGAGGTGCAGGATACCTGCTTGCTATCGATCTTCTTGCCTTTATCCACAGAGGTGCAGGATACCTGCTTGCTATCGATCTTCTTGCCTTTATCCACAGAGGTGCAGGATACCTGCTTGCTATCGATCTTCTTGCCTTTATCCACAGAGGTGCAGGATTCTGTCTGTTTGTAATTCTCCACCGTCACACAGATCTCTGTCTTCATGGCACTGGGCACTTGACTGGGTGCTGGCGTAATCGTTGGACAGGGCTCAATCTTTGAACTTTGACATTGTGAGGGGCAATATTCGTCCGAATTGCCTTTGTCTAGCTTGGCCAGACTTTTATTTTGAGAGGCACAGGGATCCACTGTAGGTGCCACTTTATCCGGCTCCACTTTGACATTCGATGGAACTTTGGGTGTAACTTTTTCCGGCTCCACTTTGGTATTCGAAGGGGGTTGGGGTTCCGCCATTTTGGCACATGAATCGCCTTCGAATTTGTTACGATCGTAACTGCGACAGGGCTCTACAACTACAGACATGTCACACTCTTTAGGACTGGGTTCCCTTATTAGCTTTGTCATTTGTTCGAGGAGATGGCGTTGGCTATTCGGGTCCAGGAACTCGTCGTCGTTGCCGCATCCCTGACCTTCCACATCCTTGAATATTGTCGAATCCGCAGATGGCAGCCACCGGGCACAGGCATCTTCTCTATCCGAATCCGAGTCCTCTTCGAGTGCATAGATCTCCACCTCTGGCAGCTGTTTGGTTTCCTGTTTCATGAAGCATTTGCGCACGGCATCGTCCAACGTTTCGAAGCACTCAATGCGGCGCCGTTCCTTTGAGCCTTTGACATTCTCGTCGACTGGCTGGGGGTCATACTGCTGTTGGATGGCACAACACTCCTCGAAGGTAGGCTTTGGTGTCTTTATTTCGTCCTGCGGCGCGACGGCACGCTCCTCCTCCATGCGCAGCATGAGGGCCAGCTCCCGAAACAGATTCTGTATCATGGCCGGACGATCCTCGTTGCAGTCACAGTCAGCGGCATCGCTCAGCTGCTGCACCATGTCCATGATGCGCTCCTTGCGGCTATCCCCCACCACCTCCTTGCAGGAGGCATCCGTGTACTCGGTGTAGGCCGATGTGTCCGGCGAGCGAAAATAGCCGGACTCGCTCTGCTTATCCAATGATGGGTCGTAGCAGCTCTTCATCTCCATGGATTGGGCGTCGTTGCAGCTCTTCATCTGAATGGATGGCTCGTAACAGCTCCTCAGTGGCGCCTCCTCATTGTCCTGGCCGCAAACGCTGATGTATGTTCCAGATGTGTCAATCCTGGAGTGCTTGCAGTCAATCTGTGACAGACCACAGCCGCACGGACACACAGACGTATTGTTAGGCGCACCTTGGTCCTTGCTGTAGCAGCTGGTGATGATCGGCAGCGATGATGAAGCATCAGCATAGGACAATCTGCGGCTGCTCTTCGACTTGACAGACTTGACGTTGGAGTTGAATGAGTCGCAGTCGCGAAACACATCCTGTTCCTCCAGGAACACCTGCTTCGAGCGAGACTGTTCCTTTGATTGACTCTTCATTTTGGCCATGGACCGGCACCGCGATGTGCACGTGCACGTGGACTTATCGCACTTGATGGACAGTGGCTTGGGTGCTACACCGCGCACAGAGCTGCCAATGGACTGCATGGGATCTTGGGGCGGTGGACATACCTCACAAGTGTTGCAATGATCGGAATTGTCTCCCATGAGCTCATCCCCGTACTGGACGTGGCCCTCTTCTCGTGGACCCTTCTCGAAGTGGTTGTTGTATATCGATTTCTGGTCCGAGGAGCAAAAACAGGTGATCTTGTTGACGACAGAGCGCGATCGGGAGGTGCCCGAGGTCTGATCATCACACCCAAACGGCGGTGGTAATCCTTGCGTGCCGGAGGTCGTGTAGCTGTACTCGTGGTCTGAACCTTCGGCCTCCAAATTGCCCGAAGTTCCAACCATAGGCAGCACGCTTGTTTGGGTGCCACACGTTGCTTCAATGACAGTCGTGTCCATGTGGAAAGCCAAGGCATTTGTGGAGCTGGTATCTGCATGGCAAGAATTCGACACGGCCTTGGATATACACGAATTAAAGAGTACCTTCGATGAGGTGGGATCAGCAAAGCCACGGGATGAACATGGATTTAAGTCGACTTTCGATGTGTAAGTATCTGCAAAGGCTTTGGATGCACAAGGCGCTGGCAAAGACTTCAATGAACAGGGATCTGCAATGGACTTTGATGCACAAGGATCTGGCAAAGACTTCAATGAACAGGGATCTGCAATGGACTTTGATGCACAAGGATCTGGCAGAGACTTCAATGAACAAGGATCTGGCAAAGACTTCAATGAACAGGGATCTGCAATGGACTTTGATGCACAAGGATCTGGCAGAGACTTCAATGAACAAGGATCTGGCAGAGACTTCAATGAACAGGGATCTGGCAGAGACTTCAATGAACAGGGATCTGCAATGGCCTTCAACGAGCAAGGATCTGCAATGGCTTTGGATGCACAAGCATCTGGCAGAGACTTCAATGAGCAGGGATCTACAATGGTCTTCGATGGGCAGGGCTCTGCTATGGCCTTCGATGAGCAGGCACCTGCAAAAGTGTTTGAAGTGCATATAGCATCATTGCTAGAATCCGTTTTGGTGCCACAAATGATGGTATCCGTGACTTCCTTGGTTTTTGCAGACTCAGTCAGTGCTGTCGAGGAGCACATACCAATGGTGCTGGTGACAGGACAAGCACTATTCGCGCATGTATCTGGTCTATCATTCCACGTGGTGAAGCTCTTGCAGCCCTTGGATGAACCCTTCGACAGGCATAAGTCAATGGTGCTCGTAATCGGACAGGCACTGGTTGCCGTTGAACAAGGATACCCATGGGGTGCCAGTGTCGTGGCCATGGATTCTGAGTTCTGAGTGAAGCAAGTGGTGGCCGCACTCTGGTACGAGGTATCCTCCTCGTTTTTCGCTGCCCACTGAAGGCCGCAGTTGGTCTCCGCACTCGACACGGCTATATGCTGGGCCTTCGGATTCGGTGTCCAAGGCGGCAAATCGCTCTGGTGCTGGCCTCCACAGAGGCATTCGTGGCAAGTCATGGGTCGCGGATCACAGGCAAACGGTGGCCTGTTGTCCATCTCTGATCTGGGCAAATAATTATGCAGACTGCATCCACATGCCGCATGCCGCGTGGATTGAACTGAGCTCTGACAGGGCGTGTGGTAGAACTCTGATGTTGTGGCACTCGAATTGTATGGACATGGCCCGCGATTGCTGTTTGGATTGCTTGCCGTAGTGTAGATCGTTTCGTTACCATCCTGTGGATTATCGCATGGCATGAGCTGTGTGGGATGCGTGAGCTTGTCCACGGAGTGCAGCATTTGGGTCTGTGATGTGCGCTCCTGCGTGAGCTTGTCCCGCTGTTGTTTGTATTGATCGTTCACGTAGGAGGACGCCGTCTGCGAGTCCTGGCTGCTGTGGTTACCCTCTGATTGGCTGTCCTGGGCATCATTAAACTGTGGTTTCTTGTGGTCGCGCAGATACGAGGTCTCCGTCTGGGACGGCCTGTGGTAGCCTGTCCCTGCTCCTGATCCTCCTGCTGGGCAGCACAGGCTCACTGGCGACTGCTGTCTGTGCTTCTGTAGGTACGATTGGTCGGTCTGGATATCCTGGGGGCGGGAGCGTTTGTTGTTGCAGGTGTTGTTGCGGCGTCGGCACTCGTCCTGCAAGTACGTCAGAGCTGGGTAATCTGCGGACGAGACAGGAGACACAAAAAAGGGACAGGTTAGATTTTTCTATTGGATTGTTTGGCGAACACTTTATTCTTCTTTTTGCGCAGCATTGGGGAGGCGTTTGGTGTGCGGATAGGGTGTGAGTAGTTCCTTGATTTCCGCCAGCTGCACCTCGCGTCCCCGGATCATCTCCGGCTCAGACCACATCTCGCAGTGGTACAGCTCGAGGAACTTTGCCTCCGCCTTCTCCCGGCAGGGACACAAGTCGAACGAAGAGGTCGTGCTGCAGGTCTCCCTGTCCCCGAAGCTGGTGAAGATGGTGCCGCGCGTGATGCAGCGACACACCTTCACCTGTGTGTGCTCGACATTTTCGTCGAAGTTGCGCGGCTTCCAGGCACACTGGCAGCAACCGCAGTTGCCCGGACAGAACACATTCCCCTCATCGTCCACAATGGGGCTGGGATCGTAGCGGCACGGCGAGCAATTGGAGAACTCCTTGTGCTGCGGCCGTGCCAGATAGTAACGTTTACCCGCCGGCAGCTCAGGCACTGGCTTTGGCTGCGGCGCCTCAGTCTTTGGCTCTGGTTTAGGTGGCGGCGGTGGCTCTGGTTTCAAGGTTTCGATGGATGCTGTCTCCGAAATCTCTTCAGGTTCCGATTCTGGCCTTACAGACGACTCCGACTCCGTCTCGTACTCCTGCAGCAATGGGGGGAATGGTTCTGGCGGTGGCACAACCATTGGCGCTGGCGGTGCTGGCGCTGGCGGGGCTGGCGCTGGCGGTGCTGGCGCTGGCGGTGGCGGTGCTGGCACTTCTTTAGGTGGTTCCGGCTCTGGAACTGGCATGGGACACGGTTTCGCGCAGGGTATGGCTGTTATCGAGATGACCTCCCGCGAGTCCTGCTCGAACCAGCAGGTGTGTGTCTTGCAGCGGCATTGGGTAACCACGCGGGATGTGGTGTCGCCACAGCTGCCCACGTAGGAGAGATCCGGATCGAAGGCGTAGAACTGTTCGCTATCTGTGTGGCATGTGCCGCACGAGTCGCATGTCATGTACCGTTCGCTGACGATTCTATCTGCGGCAGCACTGGGCTCGCAGGCGTATAACTTTTCGCCAGCGGATTTACCTGTGCCATGTCTCGTCGGACTGGGGGGTCTGCTACCACAAATTGAGGCCTGCATCTGGTGCTGCTGTTGCCCCTGGCAACTGGAGGTCAATTGTCTGGTGCGCGGATCGAATTGCAGGGGCATGTGCACGGTCACCGGTTGGCCAGTGATGCGTCCGCTTGGGCCCGGTCGCTTGTCATCGTTGACCGCCAGGGCGGTGGTTATCTCTAGGGTGAAGTCAATGGGACGATTCGGAGGCGACATCTCATCCAGGCTGTTCAACATCATTTGGATATTTGTGGCGGTCCGTTCCAGGGCACAGCGCATGGCGTCCGAGTCGTGGCCCACGTCCCGCTCCCGATCCCGATCCCGCTCCCGGCGACTCTCACAGTCCTCGCTGAAGCCTTGGCAGTCGAAGAAGGCGTCCTGCTCTGTGCCTCCCGAAACAAAGTGTCGCATGAACATCTGTCGTATGGGACCAACGCCCAGCCTGGCCCTGGCCACGATTCGTTCCAACTGATCCTCATCCATGGCGCACGAACGGTTCGAACTGATTATTCCAAACAAAATTTCCAAACTTACATTAAAATTTGATTGTGTATTGTATTACGGTGTTGCCTACTCAACGAAAACTAAAAGAATGACCCAAAAACTAAACTCAATGACAGTTTGAATCAACTAACTCTGACACGATTGCTTTGTTTGTCGCTCAATTATGCTAGGAATGAAATATTTATCGTTAGCAAGGAGCACCTTTTATATAATCAATCAGTCGATAGCCTATCAATACATATTCCACTACAAACACTCAGCCTTCTCTTGGCTCCTCCTTGCACCAGCGAACTTTACGTACGCAGGAGCAAGACTTCCGCTTCTTGGTGTTGCACCTGTCGCCAGCATCGTCGGGAAGGCCGGCGCCACATTGACGACAGTCACTGATAGTCACCACAGGCCGGGGCTGGAAGATGTTCACCTTCACTTGACCGCTCTCTGGATTCAGCTCGATGGGGAGCTTGAGTTTCACCGGATCGCCGCGTAGTCGGCACCGGCGATGCTTGGGACAGAGGCACGACTGCTCCGAGTTAAGGGTCACAGATACCTCCAGCGTGGCTGGATAGTAGTGCATCCCGGGTGGGGCAGGATTACGTACAGTGGGTGCCACGGGCGACCCATAGCAACCGAGCAGGTTCTGTGTGGCGTGAAGGGCATTCTCCAAAACGGCACGCATGTGCGAAGGATCCTCCTGATGGGCGACCACCTTGCAAACATCCCCACCAGGGGCACCATTATCGTCCCCCTCCGTATCGCTGTTGCAGTCGTAGAAGCATTCGTGAGCCTCTCCCTTGCGGCTCTTACAGGGACAATTAATCGTGGTACAATTATTCATCGTGAAAAAGAAAATTTGGAATTTTATCAACTGTGTGTTCTGCTCTTAATGGGAAAATTAACTACAACAAAGTTGGGCTCCAAGTGAAGCTATAGTCTAGGCACAGCTGATCGTTAAGAGAAAACAAGTGAGTGAAAATCATTAATTTCGTTTCGACATTTGTAGGAACAGCAACTGAAATGATCACTTCGACTGTTTCATTTCTTTCCACCGAGCATCGTAAAATCTGAACAGAATCTCTGTGGCCTTGAGGGCACATTCAAGGACCTCCCGCTTATCGATGGGTCCAGCATAGCGAGTGAAAGGCTGATGTACCACCTCATAGGCATAGCCCACAACATACTCCTCTGTCTCGCTTTCACTGGTCTGGCAATCGTAGAATAACTTGAAACGAATAACTAGAATTTTGTAATCTGTAATACGAAAGAAAGCCCTAGGCCAGCTCCCACCCCACAACGCATCGAATCCCCAGCACTTTAATTTCGATTTTTATATTGAATGTCTTTGTATCAACATCTCAAGCCAACACCCATTAACTCGAATAAATTATTTGGTCGGTCAATATGTGTTAAGGGTTTCGTTTTCTTTGCTGCATTGTCCTGATGTTCAGCCTGTTCCGCCCTTTCCTGATTTTCCTCAGACTGTTCCTCCATTTCCTGATCTTCCTCGGCCTGTTCCGTACTTTGCTGACCTTCAGCATTTGCTAGAGCTTCCATCTTTTCTGCCCTTTTCTGCCTGCTCCACCTAAGTTCCTTTTTGCAGTGGAACATCACCAAACGTTCGTTGATCCGCTGCTCGATTTTGTTTAGCGTAAATGAAGTCTTTGGCTGGAGGATCGTAGCCAAGTCACGCACACCTCCCTTCGCACTGACAAACACCTTCATGCTTTCCAAGGGCTCGGGCTCCCGCGTCCAGTACAGATCCTGCACCCGTTCAATGTTTTCGCGAAAGGACTCGCTGCTCTCCCACTCTTGCAGCAGGCGGGCCCTGAACCCTTGCACATCCTGCACCTCCGACTGCAGCAGCTCCACAAATCTGCGTGTTCGATCCGGCAACAGCAGCAGACGCTGCTCCACATCCACAAGATCACATTGAATGTCACACTCCGAGGTCTCGGGGGCGGCCTGCACCTCCTGAGCGCAAGTGGCCATCGACTCCGTTTGGACAATGGACACGCAGCACGCTTTAGCAAGTGGCAATTCCACACAACTCGCATGCTGTGAACGCAGGGACAGGAACGATGTGTCCGAATGGAGGGTGTAAATGGAGGACATCGAGTGGAAACTGTTGCTGGAGAGACTCCGCTGCAGGGCACGGCGGCGCACTAGTCCGCGATAGATGCGGCTACAGATGTATCGTTTGAGGCTCTTCCGCTTGCGTCGCATTGAATGGAGTTTCTCGTTCGGCTCCATCTCTGGATGGAGTACACTCGTGTCCTCATCGGCGTCGAAGAAAGAATCCTCTGTGAGAGTTTGCATAGAAGCAGGAACCTCGTTGAGAGTCTCCATGGACACAGGAGGCTCGCTGGGAGCTTCCATGGAAGCTGGAAGCTCGCTGATAGCTTCCATGGAAGCAGGAAGCTCGCTGGCAACTTCGATGGAAGCAGGAAGCTCGCTGAGAGACTCCACGCACACAGGAGGCTCGCTTTGAACGTCCATGGAAGCAGGAAGCTCGCTGATGTTCTTCTCCTCATTCTTGCTCTCACTCGAATTGACAGCATGCAAACGTCGATATCTGCGTAGTGCTGCCTGAACTTTGGAAGACCTGCGTTGTGGTTTCGGCAACACTTGAACAACAGCTCCACCCTCACCACGCACATCTCCTTCTTTTCCTTCTCCTGCTACTTCATCAACTCCACGTGCATAGAGCGACTCATCAGAGTGGCAGGACTGGTACATGGTACTCACCTCGGACGGATTCTTGGAAGCGAGTATGTGGTCCGCCAGCTGCTTTACGTTGCATGCCAGCACCTGGAACTCCCTGTTTGAACTGAAATCTGTGTCGCTGTTCCGTTGCTAGAGGTAAGAAAAGAGAAATTACAATTGATGAGCCTCATTCTTGTGTACTGTTACCCACCTCGCGTAGGGCACAGCCCAGTCCCAGGCTGGCAGACTGCAAGTCCTTGATCTCCTCTCGTTTGACCCGCTTGGCCGGACTGTCGTAGAGCTCGTGGGCGAGGCTAAAGCCCTCCGGGATGACTCCAATTTCGCGCTCCATGCGCTGGCACAGCTCATCCTTGGTGCGCAGCTCATCCTCCAGGCAGCGGGCGCGCTCTTCGGACTCCTTCAATTGCGACTCCATCTGCCGGATCTTGTTCTCCAGCGTGCCGACCTCCTCCTTCAGCTCCCCATTGGTGACTTCGATGTGCATGAAGCTCTTGCGGAGATCGTACATTTGGCTGCGCAATCCCTCGGCCTCCTGCTTGAGCGCCTCCTCGGTGCTCGCCTGCAGCTTCTGGGCGAAACTGAGGTCATCGATCAGCGCCTGGCAGCGTCGCTTCTCGCTCTCCAGCGCCACGGCCATTTGCTGCTCCGCCTCCAGTTGCTCCTGGGCCTTGTGGCTCTCCACTTGGGTGCGCAGCACGCGATTATCCTCGAGGAGATCGCGATGCTCTTTGGTCAGCCGCATCAGGCAGGTCTTCAGTCCCATTTCGGTCTCCTCCAGCTGCTGAATCTTCTCCGCAGCCGCACGCGAGTCCTCGCGCAGGCAATCCTGCAGCTGGCCAATCTTCTGCTTGAGGGACACCTCTTTGGCCAGATACGCCTCCTCGCGCTCCTTGTACTCCTGCTCCTGTTCGGCCCAGTGCGAGTCGGCCGACTCCATGGCCTCGTAGTGGCGCGAATTGAGGTCCTTTAGCTGGCTGCGCAGCACCTTGACCTCTTCCCGCAGAAAGATGACCTCCCGAGCGTCACAACTGTGGCGTGGACTCTCTCCTTGGCTGATTGTGTCCTCGGTGCCATCACACTGTCCGGAGTAGAGGCGGGAACTATCGTTGGTGGACATGTCGTTGCCCATTTTGGCCAAAGCCAGCAGGCGACAGATCAATAGAAGTGGCAGAGATCTCCGCAGCGCCTCCAACTGTCGCTTCGTTCGCTGACGCTCCTCGTGCAGATGCTCCAACTGCGTCTCGGCGGCAGCCAAATCCTCTCTCAGAATCAGGCACTCGGCCCTGCAGTCCTTGTACTTGGCACTCAATGCGTCCTTGCTGAACTCTAGCTCGACGTTCCGCTGCCGCGTGATCTCCAGCTCCACCTCGTTGCGCTGCAAGTGCAACCGCGTGTCGTTCTCCGCCTCCTCGAACTCGCACTTGGCCTCCTCCAACAGGGCGTTCTCCTCGATCAGCTGTCGCACGCGATCGCTCAGCTCTCGTGCCTCCTTCTCCAGCAGCACCTCTCGCTGCAGTCGCTGGGACAGATGCTGCGCCTGCGTCTCCCCGGCACTCTCGTAGACCAGAATCTTGCGCTCCAGTTGGTCCAGGCGCTCCTGGTAGTACTGCAAATGCGGGTGCTGGTAGACAGTGGAGGATGTGGACAGATCGCACTCTACAAAGACGCCACTTTCGCTGAGGCTGCTGCTCTGCCAGGCCGCTGCGGCTGCGGCACTCGATGATCGCTTGCTGGGCGTTGGTGGGGCACTGGGCGGGGCACAACAGTTGCTGTACGGCTGAACGGTGGCCACAATGCGATTGTGGCTCTGTGTATGCCGCAGACGCTGATCTGCTTTCGTCTGTAAAGTAACGAAAATTTATGTAAAATTTTGTGTGTATTTTGCGTAACAAATTGAAGTGTATAAACAATTGTAGAAATATATGATGGCATATCCCTGGTGATTGACAGTTTAAGAACTGACACAGTGGCCGGCGCTTGCTACACACCTGTTCGCCCGATGGCATCATGGCATCCAAATCCAATTGCTGGACGCATTGCAGCAACTGTTGCAGGCAGCGTTTGTCCCGATCCTCCAAGTGCTGTGCGGACTCCTCCAGCAGATTCTGCAACCGCTGACAGTGACCCTCGCAGGTGCTGTCCATCTGTGCAATGACCATAAAGAATCCGAATTAGATTGGTTCTTGTATCTAACAGTCTAACAGTTTATTTGCTCAAATTAGCATCAAAATTGAATGCTTCGCTACACACACAACACCCAGACACGGACACTCGCTGCTCCCCTCTCTAACATTTTTGCCAATTTCACTTTGCTTCACTTTATAAATAATTACTTTTTGGTTGTTGCAATTAAGCGAATGAATTAGATTTTCAAGCTGAACGACTTAACAGCTAGCTGGCTGCGCTTCGAACGGAAAGACGACTGAAAACGGTTTGGCGCGTTCGGCTCTAAAAATCAAAAAGGTATCAAAACCAAAGCAACGAAACGGAGGGGAATCAGATGCGAAGATATAGACCTGTGCTGCACCCTGTACTACACTTTATTTCAATTATAATTACTTAATGTGGAGTCGAGTAGCTTGTTTGGAGGATTATCCCATTGATTTGTGTGGTAAATACTCAAATTTCACATCTACTTCGTGGTTAAAAGATCTTATAACAGTTTTGAGAATATATTTTGGATCTTTATTTTCTGCTTACTCATTTCTGTAATATGCTAATATGCAACCAATATCTTTTTTTGTATTACTTCTTGCCGGTTTGAATTGCTCTCTATATCTGCTCCATCATACCCTTACAACCCACATTTACTGGGCACATTTGGCTTTAAGGCGTGGGTCACACAAAGGCTTAGCCCCTATATGAGTAATAGACACAAAATACAAACAAAAATCGAATGCAAATCATAGATGGTGTCCCCACTTAGGGTCTCTCGGCACTGCCACCTTATAAGTAAGCAAAACATATTAAGCACTTGTTACTGTTTTGGTTAAAACAACTCTTGGGATGAAGTAACCCTCTTTGGATATGCAGAGGCATTGGCATCAACCATAGTTGGACAGAGTCTGTGACTGTGTGTGTGTGTGTGTGTGTGTTCAATCATTCAATCAATGGTTAAGTCACACCAACAATTGGAAAGTTTAACCGCAAATACTCGTACTCCTAGCAATTGACTGAATATTTTATAATACAAAAATAATGAGATTGCCATTAACTGGACTACACTGCACTGCTGCTCCACTAATACAATTTTCAAATTGCTTGGAAAACCAAGAGAAAATATTGCTTTGCTGATTGTTAATCGAAGACAACAATTTCCGCGCTCGCACTGGCGTTCGCGGGCTCTCTGCCAGCTGCCAAAACAAAACTGGCGCCATTGTTCCACACGAAGACCAAAAAGCTGGCCAAAAGCTGATCTCCATCTCCGCTCAATCCACAACGAAGCTCGGCCGTCTGTCTAGCTCTCAGACTCGCAGTTCATTCATAAAACCAAGACGAAACACACTCAGAGTCAGCCGCTCGTTGAGTGGTTTCCAGAGACACACAAAACTGGATTTTGAGCGTTTCTGTGTGCACCTATGGATCTTTTGGCTGTATTACCTTATCGCTATCATCCTCTAGTTCGAGTATGCGAAACTCGAGAAGTTCATTCTGTTCGCGCAGCTCGTTGGACTCGTCGCTGATGTGCATTTGCTGCTCTTCGAGCTCCTTGATGCGGTGCATCAGCTCATTGATATGCGTGTGGCTGATGGCTGCCTTTTCGGCGCTCTCCAGCTCCTGTTTCATCAGCTGCACTTCGGCTTGCAGACGTTCGTTCTCCTTGTGATACATTTCCGCTTCCTTCTGCAGTTTGTCCAGATCCTGCAGCTGTAAGAATGGAAACGAGGGTGGAAATGAGTCCTGTCTGCCAGGGGTTAAGTTGCACTTACAGTCTGCCAGATGACACCGCTGTCGGAGCCACTTGAAGGCGGCTGTGGACTAATCGAAGGCGGTGCCGATGAGAGTGCCGAGTCCGTATCCGAGTTGTTGTTGTCCTAGGAGGCAGTACAAGTAAGCAGAGTTCAATGGGGTCGTTCAAGGAATCACTCACCTTTGTCCTGGCTGTTGCATGGCCATTTAGCAGCGTTGTCATCCAAGTTGTGGCTCCAATCTGCTGCTGCTCCTCCTTCTGGTTGTTGCTGCTCTTCAGTGTTGTGCGCATCTCGAGCGTTGATTTATGCGCATTTTTCGTATTGTTGATTAGCTCAATGTTCTTGAGTTGTGTTATCTGTGTGTGCGTGTGTGTGCATGCCAGAAAGAAAAGAAAAACGAATGAGAAAATGTCGTGCCTTAGTTTCATTCCCTTCATTAGGTTTCTCCCTGCCCTGCCATGCCCCAGAATGGCAATTAACCACAAAAGAATTTGTTCTGCTCTGTTCTGTCTGTCTTTTATGTCCAAGCTCTCAGTGCTTTTACGCTGCGGTCTTCAAATCGAATGAATGTCTTTCTGTGGCTTGAGGCTAGAATAGAACCCGCTTTTGTGGCTCGGCTCCACACATGCTTGTGTGTAGAGTGTGTGTGTGTGTGGAGGGGCCACAACACTTAACAGTTATGACTTGATTTCTTGCCACACAAAAGCAGAGCATTGCTAAAAAAAAACAGCCAAATCATCACAAGCGACCGATAGAGAGACAGACAGAAAGACAGACAGACAGACATACAGGTTACTTTTGATTTGAACAATGAGCCGTGGTTCCAGAGGCTCGCTTCAGGTTCAATGACATTTCCCCCCTCGCCTTCTTGTAAAGATCAAAGAGTCACAAAGAGTTGTTGTATTTTTTTTTATAACTTGTATTGTTATCAAAAGCTTTTGGGCCCAAGGATTACCAGGTCGTGCCAGGCCTCCTAAAACCCTCACGAATTCCAACGCACATTTAAACAACTGAATTGTTATATATGCAGGTATCTTCGTGTGTCTTTTCCCATCACGAATTTTCATGGTCACGAAACCTCGTTTCCCTTTAGCTGATTGTCAGCTAATTAGCCCACTTAAAACCACTCAAAAAAATCAAAACTCGATAATCCATGAATCCCACTGCCACAGCCACACAACTTTAAATCACTTTCCAATCAAGCAACGCCCTGTTATATGTCTTACTTTCATGTCAATTTGAATTTTTTATATAACATCCATAATATAATAGTGCGGCATGTCTATGTTGTTGCTGTTGTTGCTGTTGTTGCTGTTGTTGTTATTATACGCATAATGCTGCATTATGCTAATTTGTGTGTGTGGCAGCGGCTCATTGAACATGTGTACGGGCCACGCTCGCTGCAGAGAAATCATTAATCAATTGAGAAACGAGGTAGGGTTCAGCCCAAAAACAAACCTCAGACTTTGCTCGAATGAGTAGTACATAAATGTATTTAAAGAGCACAACCCAAGCGGTGCAATGACCAATCGAGTCTCTGCCTCACTGGGTCCCTGACTCCCCATAAAAGTGGTGCCCACCCAGCTTACAATTGCGATCATAAGAATAGCAGCGAAGAAGGGTCTTATGTTTGTACCTTAGCAGTCTTGTCACTTAATTTGTGTAACAAATAAGGCAAAATATTGTCATTACCCACCGACCGGGGGGGGGCACTGCCGCATGAATCATATTTCCATCGAAATTTTAGGATTTTTAAAATGAATAATTCTTGTGCATCTGCTTTAGATTTTCATACTAGTTGTTGAATCTTATCACACCTATTATCATGACCGCAATTGTATAAACATATATCTCGTATACGATCGTATAATTTCCCAACACAGCCCCGGAGCTACTACGCATATGAATACTGAGCTGAAATGAACTGAACTGAACCAGCGGCCCAGGGCACAGGAGGCCCAAAATGGAGTTTGGCGTTGGTGTCGCATGCCTGCACGTCTTCACCATCGTCGCCGTCGCCTGTTGATTGGAAATTATCATCGGTTGGATGTCTGAGAGAGCCAGAGTATAGATAGCCTGAGAGACCACTCTGCCAGCGACTGCTGGCTAACAGTTATGGTAATTTCTTGAATCGATTCCAAAAGAACTCTTTTTTTTTGCGTAACGGACACTGACGAAGCTAACGAACTTCTCGATCAACGTGCTCTGGAGATTAAGCAATTTTTGTAGCAGCCAGTTTTAGCTCCACTCCCCCATTAACGTGCTGGGTATGGGGATTATTTTGATGGCTCTATTGATGGTACAATCCGCACAACTCGCATATTCAGATTGCGCTAAATGCAGCGCCAGACGTTGCGAGACGGCCAAAGATGCGCCGCTGCCATCAGGTAAATTTCAAACACTGAATGGATGGATGGATGGATTGTTTGTTTGTTTGTAAATCTGTCGACAAACTCTCAACCTGCTGAGCCATATACAACAACCATATGTATATACAAGCATCTCAAATGCATGCATAAGGTTTATGTGTTTATGTTTTGCCGTCGGGTTTGTCTGCCTGGCTGTCTGTCTGTTTGCACAAGCCGCGGGCCAAGTGATTGTGATTGTGATTGTGTGAAATGATTTTCCTTTCTGTACGGACAGGTTTCACTTCGATCTCTAGTGACTGCGAACGGCGACGACTGCAACTCTCAGAGCGGCTGCAGTTTTTAGGCAGCAAACGTCGCGACGACGACGACGACGACGACGTCAACGTTCCGGGTTCGACTCCCTGGTCCGGTGCAAGATTACGTGTCAAGCGGCAGTACAATCTGTAGACCGGGCACCAGCAGCAATCCAGCCATCAAAAGGCATCGAGACGCGATGCTTTATATATGTAGATATACAGAAAATTTCCTCGTATTTGCATTTGGCATTGTAATTCAGGTTTTCAGTCTGCACAAAAGACATTGCCTTTGATTTGATCTTGCGAAAGCGAAAGTTTATATGCCGCTAATGAATTATATTGTATATCGAAAGACACTACTTCCCAACGGTTTGGCCCCACCCCAGTGGCGCAATCCCCGGGGTGGTCTTCGGGGGGTTCTGCAGCCAAGCGTTACACTCCACAGCGTTCGGGGGGATACGATAATTGAACTAATGAATGGATTTGAGCGGACTCCGTTGACATGTGGAGTGGAGTCCGTCCCGTCCCCGAAAAACATATGCATTATGCTCGTTAATTTGTATCGATATCGCACAACGAACCCCGAGGATTAATCTTCGGGCAGGCAACCATGGAAGATAGTCGTCGAGGCCTTTCCCTTTCGATCTGCGATACCACAAAAGACAGACAGACGATTGATTATTCATCCGTTTGTTGTTGCCTATAGAAAATTTCATATACTGTGCGTTACAGAACTGTAAGGCCATACAAAATAAATAACTTTCTTCGCAAATTCTTTTAAATATGATGGTTTTGATCACCCAAAATATAGCACCCCGTCTGACATTATACATTTGTATAATTCATTGCCATAAATCATGTTTGCCCATCACTTTCATTGCAATTCAAAGCTCATTTCGTATGTACAGCACGTTGTATGAGCAATAATTGTGGAATTGCTTGTGGTTTTCTCGGAGTAAAATTGTTTAAACTATACATAAAACAAAACTGTAAGTAGACTTTGACTTAGACCCTTGTCCAAGGGGGTGTTCGTTCATACCTTGACATCTCGGCGGTTGTAGTAGTAATCCATTGCGTCAGGTGTACAAATATTTATGCATTATTTAAACAATTAACTAAACAGTTTGTCAAAATTCAAAGTAGTTTTCACCGTGGTAATTTCACTAAAAACACATCAAAATTTATAGACACATTCAAGCAAAAAAACGATATACAATTTGCATATGGTTCACATTTCCACAAAATTTCACACACACCCCTTTTTTGTTTCCTTTCATGAGTGGTGGGGTCTTTTTTTCTTTTGGTTTTTTTTTAGGTTTTTTGTGCTTTGCTGTTGTGATTACTTTGCATATTGGAAACGTCCGGCGTCTACGAGTATGTCTTGTTTTAGCAACATCATCATCATCATTATCATCATTTTGGTCGCTTCGCTTTTACTGTCGTTTGGACATGGCGATGGATGATGGGGAAGAGGAGGACGACTAAATTTTTGCAGCCAACATAGACACATATCGTATTTAAAATAGCGTTAACATTTTAAAAGCTTTTCACTGACCCCAATTGGTGGTGTGCACACCACAGCACTCCCCAGAGCAGAGTCACAAGAGTCACAGCCACCACTCAACACACACTTTCCTTAAAGACTCTCTTCTGTGCATATTTATTGATGCCGCCCGTCTATTTCTTGTTTCCAAGATGACATCGTTTTCCCGATTGCCGCTGCACTTTTGCTGTATGCAAATTATGGATAGTTTTAGAAAACTAAAGAAACTTGCACACTGCCAGACCCAGACATCTGAGAGTGATCTGCGGAAAGGCAAAGCCAAAATATCACCAAAAGTCATGGCTGAATGATCCCTCAAGATGGTAGATATGCATGGATGGGAGGGTGGGGGCAATATTGTTGCCATAACAGATTCTCGATTACTTTTGGCCCAATCGATAGAAACAATTACTAGCGGTACTGGCCGCTGCGATTAATGAACTGTAAAATTGAATTCGATCACTGGAACGGAACGGAACGGAACGGAGCAGCAGCACAACGGATATATTGGTGGAATGGTTGAACATGGTTGAAGGGGGACGGACGGACGGGACCGTGTGAAAGGCAATTAATTTTGATTGTTTTAATAGTTGTTTTTTTTGGCATATTTCTCTAATCTTTTTAGTGCAAATTCGGTGAAATTATGGGTTCGTGTGTGCGTTGAACAATACAAAAGAGAAAGACAAGACACACACAAGAAAGGCTGTAAAATAGGTTTTCTGATGATCGTTGTTGTTGCCCCATTCGATTCCAAAAGGCAGTAACAACAAATGAAACCGATTGTTTGTTGTGGTTTTCGATGGTAAGTATTGTACAAAAGCATTTTTCTTTTGTATAGTATTTGTAGTTGTTGTTTTTGTTTTTGTTTTTGTTGTTTTTGTGTCTGTGGTTCCTTCATTTTTGGCATAGTTACACACAGACAATGCACTTTGGTGCTTTGGTTTACTTTTCATTAGCGGCTCTTCATAAGGTGCTCTGCCAAATGAGCAGTAAATTTCACCTAATTATGCCACTCGTTGAACCCTGTGTGCCCTCCCGGCCCGAGCATTTCTTTTCATTTGATTTGTTAATTCACGTTTTTTTAGTTCCCAGCATACACTTGACACCGACTTTGCCGCGAATTGGAAGTGTGGAATTGTGATACTACGAATAGTGGGAATACCGCGTTGCGCACCTGCGACGCCTGCGTACTCTGAAAATCAACTGACGGACGGGGCTATCGACGGACGCTATCTGTTGGGCCATTCATGCGAGCCAGAGCCCCAGAGCTGAGCCTCGCACTAGCACTGCGGTAGAGTCCAGAGTGTCGTTTACAGAAGGTGAGGCGATTCTCTCGCTCTCTCTCTCTCTATGTCGGTTTAGGCATGCGCTGCCGGGAGGTCTGGTGCTGCCTCTAGACTTAAAGAGTGCAGAGTGCAGGGGAGTGCAGGAGTGCATTATGTTAGAAGAGGGTAAGTATATGACACAATGACAGATAAAACTCTGCTTCACAAATTTTGAGAGCACGCTTCTAGCAAGCGTCACCTTGTTTTTCTACACCCTTTGCACTGGCTTTGACTGCGACAAACGGCTGCGTCTGCGCGCTCTCTTCTCACTCTCCCCATAAGGTGAGAGAAAGTGAGTGTGAGTGCGAGTGTGACGACGTGCAAAAAAACCAAAAACCGGCTTGCTTAGGTCTGTGTGCTCTCTCTCTCTCTCACTCCTCTCTCTACGTCTCTTTTTTTTCCGTTTGGTGTCTGCGTTGCCTGCGATCCACTTGCAACACTTGCGCTGCTGCTGGTGCGGCGCGGCGGCTGCAATTGCTGCTGCAGTTGCTCACGTTTCAGCAGAGCAGGTTTTTTCTGCTGCTGCTGATGCTGCTGCTGCTGCTGTGTCTGTTGCTCTGTCTCCTTTCTGTCGAAGCGATTGTTGTCTTTGCCATTCTCATAACTAACGCAAAATTATATCATAGATCATGCCAATAGTGCATAACCGCAGCAGACGACGACAGGACAGGAGAGATACAGATGCAGATCCCGAGACAGATACAGAGCCACAGATGGAGATGGAGAAACGCCGCCAGAAAACAGGTAACAAGAAGGAGAGAAAACAGGCAGAGACCGAAGACTTAGATACTCTGGAGGATATATTATTTTACTGTATTGATAATCGTATAGCAATCGATAGTTATCGATAAAGTAATTTTTCTTTCGAATGTTGAAGGAAGAGAGCACATCAGATCTTTCCTGACAGAAAATAAATCTACATAGAGTAGATTTTACACTCTCAGAATAAACAACACATAATTCAAGATCTTTCCAAATATCCCACCATTATCGTAATACTCTCCAAAAAGGGTATATGTACATATGTACAACAAATCTACAGCTACAACTGTAGCTACAGAGAGATACATATCTGCAAGAGAGCTCTTAACATTTAACCCAAGTCTCGAAAATGCTGGCGGCACAAGTTCAAGTGCTGCCGCACAGCCCCCGAATCCGAATCCGAATCCGAATCAGAGTCAGAGTCCCACTCCAACCCCAACACAATCCCCTCCATTCCCCACCAAAGACAACGACGACGACGACGACTTACCTCAGGTGTAACTTGAGCCTGGTGTATGGGATTTGGTGCTGTAGTACGAGTATTTGTATCTGGTTCGTTTTTAGCTTTTCTTGCTTTTGATATTGTTGAAGTTGTTGAAGTTGTAGTTGGGATCGTTGTAGGTTTCTTTGGCTTTTGGCTCGTTTCGTTCGTTTTGTGTTTCATCGTCGTTGACATTTTGGCTTCATTCGAGGGCCTTTTCTTAGGGCCCGGTGGGCCCTGCAATGTCAACAAATCCTTCTTCAGTTGTCCTATATTACGTTCTTTGGTTTTGATTTCCTCTAGCTGAAAGCAAAATAAATTAATTAGCAAACCCCTTTAGATGCAGATACTCTTGTGTATGTATAGAAATGTATATGAAGTTCCAATGTGAAATATGAAAAGTTGCCCGAACCGCTTCTCTCGAATGTTGTGGTTGTGTCTTTTCTACTCGTGTGTGTACGCACAACTTACCAAACGTGTTATTTCAATTTTGGCTGATTTTTGTATCTGAGTCAATCGGTTTTCATATGCATTCTTCAATTGCCGCATATCGGCAGCCTTGAGTCTATCAGCCTGCCCAATAATCTGCAAGAAATTGTCATATCATACATATCTGCGTTCCACTAATCAATGGAGCCCCCCGGCGTCCGACAGCCCCCGCAGGGGGGCAAGTCAAAAGCAAGCCAATCCATGCTGTTAGTTTGCACTTTGCGATTAGGTTGCGCACATCCATTAACCAAACGAGACACAGAAACACACATACACATGTACACATCGGAAATAACTGGAAAAAGGTGTTATCTAGGGTATAACCGAAGCATTGCATACCCTTGGGAAAGCTGAGAGAAATATGTGATGGGTTTGCTAAAGGTAATTTGGTTGTTCACACTTCTCCGTAAATATCAAATAAGGAAAACGGCAGATAGGCACTGCTGTACGTTGCGCGAGTATAGCCGAATTTATGTGCCAACAATGAATAATGTATCCAATAAATCCTAGAGGTATGACTAATTTCTACAAGATAGCCTCAAAAATGACCCCCCTAATTTTAATTCCATTCTTAATAGTCCAACCCTTTTGAACAGGGTATCTCAAAAAACTTTAGGAACTCTGCTACGCAGAACAATATTTGCTTATCGTCCTCCTGCTGATAGAGACAGCGCATTAAGGAAATTGCCATATTGAAATTGGTGTGGTCTATAAAAACAAAGGTGCCATCGTGTGAGGGCAAACAGTGTGCATTGCAATGTCCATCCAGTGGTTGCAGAACCTCCTGCTCCTTGCATGGGTATGCCATTCGGTTGGCTGCCCAAGTGAGAGTCGTATACCGTTGAACCTCAAGAGGAATTCGAATTTGATGCTGGAGGTGAGCAAGATCTTGTGCAGGGCTCGCATTAAGTTGCTGTTTGTCTATTTTGAGAACGAGACGTCGCATCAGCACACCGGACAGATACTGCGGGAGGTTACCAAGTGCGATATATCCTACATATCGTTGAGGTAGGCTTCAAAATACAGAGTGTAGACCAAAGTGCAAACGTAGCTCATGTCTCGTGTCTGCTGATGCTGTTGACAGGAACCAATTGCATCCGCTGGAGGCCGTCAAGGATGATGGCATTCTGATGTACATGGTAATGATCATCACGAACATCTCACAGCCTCTGGAACTGTCACTCATTCGTAAGAAGTCGGCGGCCAAGCACTTGTCTCACGTCTTTCTACTGGTGCGGGATGCGGATACCGTGTCGAATGCCTGGATGAGGGCCAGCTTTCGACAGTTCTGGAAGATTTGGCTCCTTAATATCGTCATCGTCTACTGGCGCAACGGCCGCCTGCATGCCTATCGATATAATCCCTTTACCGACAACTATTTAATCACCGTATCCCATGAGGCGAATCGCCTGCCGACTGTCGGTGAACTCTTTCCCAAGACCATACCGAATATGCAGCGCAAGCCGCTGCGGATGTGCATCTACAAGGACGATGTTAGGGCCATATTCCGATCGAAGGGCTTGATTGTTGGAACGGATGGCCTGATGGCCACCTATGTGGCCGAGCGCTTAAATGCCACAATAATGGTCACGCGTCCGCACTCCTACAACTACAATCTCAGTTCGGACATTTGCTTCCTGGAGGTGTCCAAGGAGTATGTCGATGTGGCCCTTAATATTCGATTCCTTGCACCCGACACCTTCCAGAAACTGGCGGAGAACACTGTGGCCCACACTCGTGACGATCTGTGTGTGATTGTGCCCAAGGCAAAGACTGCGCCCATCTTCTGGAACATTTTCCGTTCGTTCAGCTGCTGGGTGTGGATCCTCATCCTTGGCTCTGTGCTGCTGGCGAATGTCTTTTGCTATTGGGTCCATCGACTGCCGCATGGTGGAGTGGCTGGAGTGCCCATGCAGCTGTTTGCTGGTGCTCTGACCATGCCGTTGACTAACATTCCCAGGAGCCACTCTCTGCGGCAATTCCTCATATTTTGGCTGTTCTTCGGAATGCTCATTTGCAGCGCCTTCAGGGGAAATCTCACCAGCATGATGGTCTTTCAGCCGAGTCTTCCGGATATTGACGATTTGGGCGCCTTGGCTGCATCCTCCTATCCCATTATGATACGACCGCGACACATCAAGCACATTGAACACTTCCTGACATTGGGGCACAAGCGCGAGGCAAAGATACGGGAGCAAATGATTAAAGTGACGGATGGAATGCTCAACACACGGATAAAGGATAACGATCGGAGGTTTGCGTATCTGGAGAAGTTTCACATTGCACGATTTCAGGTGAACAATCGCCAGCACATGGTGCTGGGTCGTCCCGTGTTCCACCTGATGGATAGCTGTCTGGTGCCCTTCCATGCCGTCTATATTGTGCCCTATGGATCACCGTATTTGGGCTTTCTGAACAGCCTCATCCGTAGCTCGCATGAGTTTGGGTTCGAGCGTTATTGGGATCGCATTATGAACACGGCGTTCATTCAGTCGGGCGCCAAGGTGGTGCATCGTAGGCACAACAGCAACGATGATCCGGTCGTGCTGAAACTAGAGCACTTTCACGCCGTATTCTCGCTGTGGTTCATCGGCATGGGGCTGGCGTGTGCGGCATTCATCTGGGAGCTGTTAACCCACAACTACAACTGGGCCATAACCAAGCGACAACGCTAACGTAGCAGCAGCAGCAGCAGAAGCAACAGCACCAACAGAGGAGAAGCAACAACGATGCATGCAACAAGAACATGGGGTGACAGATCTGGTGCTCTGTGTGATGGCCACTTACCTGGGACTTTTCCTCCTTGGTTTTGTTTGCTTCCTTTAGCACGGCAATTTCGTTTGTCAGTCTTTGGATTTCATAGTTGATGAGGCCATCGGCCGTCGTCACGTGTGTGCTGGTGCTAGCATTGTTGGCCTCGTTGGCCAATTCGTTGGGTTTCTTTGAACCATTACACTTTTTTGTTACGTCCAGCGTATGCTGAAGTTTCTTAACATCGTTCTTCCATTTGCGGCTATCGGCATCGTTTTGGGCCCTAGAAAGGCGGACAAAAATTATAATCCGTTAATCGATAGGCAGCGATAATTCATCGATAACTCACCGTAGGGCACGCACTGCTCCTCGTTCTGTGATCAGGCTGGACTTTAGCTCGTTCACCTCCAAACGTAGCTGCTCCGTGAGTGCATTTAACTTTTGTATGGTATCCAGATTCTCCTGCAGCTTGCGCTTTATCCGCTGCGGCGGTACCGCTGTCACATTGGTTGTGGTTACTCCTCCAATGATCACCGGTGGACGCTCTGTCTTGGCGGGTTTGATGGCTGCATTTGGTACTTTTGCAGCCTCAAAAGTATGTGTATCCTTGGCGCGCAACTTGCCGCGACACTGCAAGTGGATACCCTCGATACGGGTGCGCTTCTCCTGATTGACTGTATCCCCAACGGATGTCAGGGATGTACTTAGCTTCTTCTTGCGCTTTAATTTATTTTTGCCGACGACCAGCGTCTGCCAGTCTTCCGGGAAGCTCGCTTGGGCCCTGCTTTGGGGCTCTGTTCCACTACGCACTCCCCCTGCCCCAGCATTGTGGGGTCTCAGGATCTGTGGTGCGGTTAATCTCTTCTCATTGAATCCTTTGCTAGAGGTCGTTTTTGTTTGATTTTCAGCCATTTTAATGTATCTTTCGTATACAGAAAATGTAGCCGTCGTTTGTTTTTTTAAATTAGTTTTTCTATAAGTGCTGCATATGCGGTGTGTGGTCCGACCCTGCCGAAAGTCTTTGCTATATTTACTTCACCTGGTCATTGATAGATTCGCCTGAATCTCATTCAGGGTTTATCTGGAAATAGAATCAGAATATTTACAACCATTAGTACAGAAACACAGAGGGTTCCCTTTCGAAAAGGGTTCGTTCGGTTCGCTAAGGGTGCCATATTCTTGCCGTGTTTTTGCATTTTGTTGGCTTCTGTTTAGCCACTAACTTCTAAGCTCTTTTCTTTCATCGTTTGCCTCATTCGTTTTGTGTGCGGCATGCAACTAATCAACAAGTTTACCCGCCCCTCTTTATTGATTTCCATGGCAGCAAAGCTTTTGCTTCAGTTTTGTGGGAGAGCCAGAGGCCACACATGAATGAAATGAAAATGAAACATCTATTGTAATGGGGCGACTAGTTTATGATGTGAATTGTTTTTGTGGGTGGTGGTGGGGGGTTTACTAAATAAACTACTCCCAAATGGTCTATCCAACTGACGTCATGTGGCGCGCCCAAACACACATGTTTTTTTTTAGGAAACCCAAGAGAGCTCTTTACACGCAATAAAAATGTACATATTTCATGGTAGTTTCACTCCCCCCCACACACCTGCACCACACTGCATAAGCCTACTATTAGCAACTAGAGCAAAAATTCTTTGCATTGTTCAAACATCCGTTCGAAAGATTATAACAAAAGCATCTATATACATGTATATCATTACTATAAAGCAGAGGAGATACGAGCGGCCGACTGATCGCGCACATGAGGCCCTCAGTTCATATGGATGATCATCTTTATCAAGGCCACCGATCTTTCTATATATATCAATATATATATATATATATATATATATATATATATATATATTGGAATTTGATTTGTTTTTCCAAAACCAATTGGAAACGCCATAAATTCGGCCTAAGTGGTTAAAGTCGTTTATCGGGGGGAAATGGAACTATATGTTACGCTCATTTTGCATTTAATTAAATTAAAAATTGTTGCCATAAAGTCCAGCGTGTTAATAAAGTGTTTTTGGGGTCGACACACGACATGGTGACATCACACGGGCTTCGCCTTGCCTTGCCTTGGGCTCTGGTGTGCGCCCACACCACAGAGACAAGACCAGAGGCGAAAGATGAAAGTTTTTGCTCTTTAGGTATGTATATTTTCAGACATTTTTCAATCTAATGACACATGTTGCCAAACGATGGATGAGTCGTGCCGCATGTACGTACAGTCTCCGTCCGTCAAATCTATATCTACATGTATGAATAGTTCTTTCATGGGGTGGCACCCCCAGGCACCCCATTTGCTGATTCACTGAAGATCACGTATACGCACCATTAACATTCAAATCCTTGCGCAAACGTAGACCAAAGTTTGGCATTTGCCGCGGCGTAATTAACACGAACGAATTTATTGTTTACCAGCTACACTCACTCCACCCTCCACAAGTTTTCTGTATTTTGTAATAGTTTATTTACTTCTGCTTCCGCGGCAATTGTTTGTTTAGAACTAGTGGCGTTCTTTCGTGCAGTGTAATTTCTCGAATTTCGCAATGACGTCAATACGTTAATTTTTCCGCGCCGCACAGAATAAGTCGAGTTTCTTGTGGTTTTCTTTCGTTTTCCTTCACCGAAATTCGTTGAACAGGAAGCTCTTTGTGTTACACTTAGTTATGGGTGAGAGTTGTGTCGAGAATTAAGCTAACTAGTCGTGAGGTTCGTTATGTTAAATTAATTGCAATCAATTGAAATTCAAATGAAATGTTCTATTCTAATTAAAATTTCGTTTTGCTGGGCGCATATAGCCAGAGATCTTTCGTTTCGGCCGGACACCGTTTGACTGACTCGGCGGGCGAAGCTTTCGCAAGCTTTCCTCATATTTGCTTCCATTTCCATTTAATTAAAGAAAGCTTTGGCATTTATTGATGCAGTTTGTTTTGCGTTCGTGTGGGTTTGGGGGTGGCAAAGCTTTGCATGATTGTGCGTGCACAAAAGAACTTCTGACCGAACTGTAGTTGGGGGGAGGGGAGGTAGACGGCAGCACAAAAGCAAGCAGCCGTTGGAAGCCGGAAGAGGCAATTTATTGAAAGCAGCGCGCATCTTCATATTCATAACAATAACAAACTACGCCTATACATATGTATTAATAACCTCAAATGAATATAGAAATATGTATCTATAAATGCAAGCATCGTCTGGCGGCCCCCAACAGCTGAAACTTCACACTTGGATTTATGTAAATTTGACAATGCCCCATAACGACACGATGAATGATGGACACAATTAGAACACACTCGGATTCCAGTCTGTCAACAGCACAAAGGGGGGAATAAACTTGGAACTAGGTTGATTCCTTATCATCTTATAAGTAGTTTGAATAAACATTACTTACTCTGAATTAGCATTTGTGTTGGCTGTGTAGTGTCCTGTGCCAGCGTTTCGTAATCACTTGGCGAGTTTCGATTGAATATCCATTGACATTTCTTCTGGGTTGTCTTGTCGTTAACAGAAGCCTTGAGCAACTAAAATTCCAATTCCACATTACCGAATTAGATTTAGATCTTCTTCTATTTCCATTTTCAATTTGCCTTTTTCTATCAGGCTCTATTTGCTCTGGTGCACACAAACTCACTCAAGTTGAGCGGTCGGAACAAACTGAAGATGCGCCGCATATTCTAAAATGGAATAAGCGACAGGCGTGCGTGCACCGTGTGGACGATCGCCAAATTTATATAAATAGCTAAAGAAATCACAAATCTATATTTGAAGTTAGAAGAAATTTCAAAAACGCCGCTCGCCGGTCAACGTCTACGTCACACATATCGACTGCAGCCATGCACCTATTGATGCACGAGAAGTGTGACCAATTTAAATTGAATTTTAAAATAGGTTGGCGCGTAACTCCTCTCGGAGCGGCCTTTTAGCAGCATCTATATTTTAAATGGATTACTCAATAGCGACATGTTTATCTGAAAAATAGTCAATATTTAAATGGGTACTTAAATAGACTTTTGAGTTTTACAAATATTTTTGAACACCACCTTTTTTGTGTTTGTATAACATGTGCACTTACCGCGTAGTTACTATGTACTACCATAAAAATTGCTGCTGAGCTTTTTGCATAAACTTTATTTTACAAATAAACTTATCAAAAAGTATCCTTAAATTGAACCAATCTCCGGATAACCAAACCATCGGATAAAACTATAAGCTTATCTCTGGGAGTCCTAGTTAGATAGAAATCATAAGCCAAATTTTAAAATCGAGGAATATAATTTCCGATCAACACAAAGATCGTTAGCCCATTGTCAACCAGAGGTGTTTATAATAATTTACATACTGAAGGCAAAACTCCCCATTCTTCCAGTAGGGGTGATTTAAATAAAGAATACAAATTAAAATTTGTAAAATATAAGGTCATAAGGTATACAACTTAATAAAGAGGAGTATTTATAATAAGCCAAATTGATTCTTCGATCAGAATAAATTATTGTTTAAGTGCAAGCTAGTAATATCAAATAGAACATAAAAATCGAGGAATATGATTTAAGACTACGGTATATTTTTAAGATGGGAAGGTATATTTCTATATATATTTATCGATGGGCCCGCGGACGGTCACACTGTGTCGATTACTCATTGCGGAAAACGTGAAACCACAAAAAACCATTTGCCGCTGTCTGCTAGGAAATTGATTGTTTTAAACGACATTAACTTGAAAACGGCAAATACCATCACATAAATATGGTAAGTCATCCTATAAATAGGCAGCCGATGGCCCTCGGAGTTAGAAAGACGCATTTGCTGAAGGATAGCATGCGAACATAAACATAACCTGCAAAGAAGCTTCTGGCACAAGCCGACATCTGGCGCTGACTAATAATGAGCTTGATTTGGAACTCGTTTTCAGCAACCGCAAATTGTGCTCCTCAAGGAAGGCACGGACACGTCGCAGGGCAAGCCCCAGCTGGTGTCCAACATCAATGCCTGCCAGATGATTGTGGATGCAGTGCGGACCACTCTGGGTCCCCGTGGCATGGACAAGCTGATTGTCAATGCACAGGGCAAGGCGACCATCTCTAATGATGGCGCCACCATCATGAAGCTCCTGGAGATTATCCATCCAGCTGCCAAGACCCTGGTGGACATTGCCAAGTCACAAGATGCCGAGGTAATATTTCTACATGGCGCGCCTTTGAAAATGTAAGCACGTGACGACTGACTTTTCTTCTCTGGTAGGTTGGTGATGGTACCACTTCCGTGGTTCTGCTGGCCGGTGAGTTCCTGAAGCAGGTGAAACCCTTCGTGGAGGAGGGCGTCCATCCACGAATCATTATCAAGGCCATCCGCAAGGCTCTGCAGCTGTGCATGGACAAAATCAACGAAATGGCAGTGCACATTGAGAAGCAATCCAAGGAAGAACAGCGTAGTCTGCTAGAGAAATGCGCTGCCACAGCCATGTCTTCCAAGCTGATTCATCAGCAGAAGGATTTCTTTGCCCACATTGTTGTGGATGCTGTGCTCTCGCTGGATGAGCTGCTGCCACTGAACATGATTGGCATCAAGAAGGTCACTGGCGGTTCGCTGGAGGAGTCCCAACTGGTGTCTGGTGTGGCCTTCAAGAAGACCTTCTCCTATGCCGGGTTCGAGATGGCCCCAAAGTCGTATGAGCCCTGCAAGATTGCCTTGCTGAACATCGAACTGGAGCTGAAGGCGGAGCGCGACAATGCCGAGGTTCGTGTGGACAATGTGCGCGAATACCAGAAGATCGTGGATGCCGAATGGCAGATTCTGTACAACAAATTGGCCAAAATAGTCGACTCGGGTGCCAATGTGGTGCTGTCCAAGTTGGCTATTGGCGATGTGGCCACACAGTATTTCGCAGATCGTGACATTTTCTGCGCTGGCCGTGTGCCCGAGGAGGATCTCAAGCGTACGATGAAGGCTTGCGGAGGTGCTGTAATGACCACAGCCAATGACATCAAGGCCGAGGTTCTGGGTCTGTGCGAGACCTTTAAGGAGGTTCAGGTGGGCGGTGAGCGCTTCAACTTGTTCCAGGGTGAGTCGTGCTTTCGCCATTGACATAAATCCAGTGACTAATGGTTCATTTATTGTCCCTAGGCTGTCCCAATGCCAAGACCAGCACACTCATCCTGCGCGGCGGTGCCGAGCAGTTCCTCGAGGAGACTGAACGTTCGCTGCACGACGCCATTATGATTGTGCGTCGCACCATCAAACACGACTCGGTTGTGGCTGGCGGTGGTGCCATTGAAATGGAACTCTCCCGTCTGCTGCGCGACTACTCGCGTACCATTGCTGGCAAGGAGCAGCTGCTGATTGCAGCCATTGCCAAGGGACTGGAGATCATACCGCGCCAATTGTGCGACAATGCCGGCTTCGATGCCACCAACATTCTCAACAAGCTGCGCCAGAAGCACTCTCAGGGTGAGTACAGATACGATTTACAGACAATATTTTGAAGGGGGGAGTTCAACAATTTAATCTTGAATCTGTTTTTACAATGAATTGTGAGAGGGTTTTACTTTTTGAGCTGCTCGTGCCACAGACGGAAGCAGGGCTCCTGGCACAGGCCTGGCTTGTCCGGGCACGAGTTGCACATGTATTTGCTGTACTGCAGCATGCCACCTTTGTGGCAGTAGCGACAATTCTTTCGAGCCGGCTTTCCATTCTGGCGTATAAGGATCGGGTCATGTCGTATGGCCGTGATTAACTTTATATCCGGAATCACCACCGCCTTCTTGATCTTCTCGGTTGTTTCCGCTTTGTTTGGGCTCGTGGCAGCAGCAGCAGCAGCTGCAGGTGTCTCCGTGCCTGACGTCTCCAGTCGAAGCAGTGACCGAATGATTGCCACACGAAATTCGGGATAGTTTTTATACTTCAATGTGGCATCTACTCCGCGCGGCGGTGGGGTATTGTTCTGGTACAACAGATACGAGTTGTAGACAATCATGTTGAGCAGAAAGATCACCATTTTTTTGTCCGACTGAAGGCCCTGGCAGGTCGGCTGGTACTCAATTAACTGCTGTCTGATCTGGTTGGCAGGACGCAGTTGTCGGTCAATCTCCTGGATGAGCTTCGGTCGGGCATTTGTCTTTTGCATGGACATCTCCTTCGAATAGATGGCCAGACAATCGGAGCTGAAGAAGTACAAACTCTTCTCGCGACGCCGCCACTTGCCCATCATCAATGGCGGAGTGGCATACCACATGACAATGCTGTTCGATGTCAGCTGCTGATGCACCAGCGCCTTGCTGTTGCCATACCTGTTCCTGTCCAGCAGTCCAGTGCAGTAGGTGTTCCTGTTGGACAGCTCAAAGGCGAGGCCATAGCTGCCATAGAACTTGGATGCGTACACCGTGCGTCCCTCCTGGTGCACCCCTACCAGCTTCAGTGCCAGCTCATTTCGGTGTTCCACCAGCTGTCGGGAATTACGCACCCATGCGCCTGCCTTCTCTCGCTGCACAATCTCCGGCAGCACTTTAATTATCAGTCCGCTTTGCTCTGTGAGCATGTGTAGAAGCAGAGCATTGCTGCGGAATTTGGGAGCCAAGTCCTGATTATAGCTAAATCTACCCTTCCACAGGGTCACTGGGTCATTGAGCACCAGCTGCTGGCCGCACACATACAGCTCCGCCATGCGTTCGTTGATGAATGTCAGCAGTTTATTGTAATCATCTGCATTGCTCTTTGCCGTCACATCGAGGGCATCAAAGTTGAGCCACTGCATCAGCTGGCGATAGCGCTCCAGCGACATCTTCTCCTTGAACCCAACAAATCCGTAGTGCATATTTGTGCTCCAATAGTCGGCGAGCTCGTTCAACTTGACATCACTCATGAGCAGGGAGAGTCCCACAAATGCCTCCATTTCCTCGGCGTGGGTCAGGGTGCAGCCCTTGGCACGCCTGTTGCAGCTCTTGGCCAGCAAGAAGAAGAACGTGCCCCGATGGCCGAGAATCTGATTGAGGTAGTGCTGGGGGCCCATGTAGTTCTTGCCGCCCTTCAGGCCCGTCTGCTGCACCGGAGTGTTGAACTTGAACAACAGGCGTGTGCTAGACTGCTGCGTTGTCCACTCCGGATCATAGTTGTCCACTTCGTCTGCACGACACAAACGACACAAAAGCTTACATAAGTCTAGGGTGGAGTTGTTAGGAGTTAGCCGCTTACCTTGGGTAAAGACATCGGCAGCCTCGTAGTTTATCTCCGAGTAGCCGTCCTCGTCCGAGTCACTCTCCTGATTGTCCAGCTCGTGTCCGCTGAGGGCTGGGGGCTGCTCGCGTTCCGCCGCTGCCATCTCCAGATGGAGCTCTGTCAAATCGGGCTTGATGTCGGCGCTGCTCAGGTGATAGTCGGCCAGCGCCGGGTAGCTGCTGTCGAGCGGCTCCTTTTTTATGTCCACAGTGCTGCGCTTTATGGGCGATCTGTGATCGTCCTGACGCGGCTTTAACTGCTGCTTGCGCTTGCGTCCCGAGGTAGACATTTTACCGAATTCACTTACTTTTTTTAAATATAAATATCTCCAGAATGCTCTGCTAGCGCGTGTTTTCTCGCGTTTTATGCCTGCTCTTTCGTTCGCCTAACATGTGTTATAGTGTGTGCTCTTTCGCACATCTGCATATTCGTGTGCGCGCGGGCACTGTCGGGGCTGCCAACCTGGTTTCTAATGTTACAGTAAATTCAAAAATAAAATTGTATTTCTCGTTGCAGGCGGTCAGTGGTATGGCGTAGACATTACCAAGGAGGACATCTCGGACAACTTTGAGCAGTGCGTGTGGGAGCCATCGATTATCAAGATCAATGCCTTGACTGCCGCCGCTGAGGCCGCCTGCATGGTGCTGTCCGTGGACGAGACAATAAAGAGCCCCAAGGCCGGTGAAGCTCCCATGGCGGGAGGTATGGGCCGCGGCATGGGCAGGCCCATGTAAATCGAGCAAGGAACAAAATAGTACACAAACACTAATCATCCACACACTCACTTGCATTTCTCTCCTAATTTAACACGTACACGTATTACTCGGTCATAGTTCGCATTGGCATATGCAGGCTCTTCGTGTTGCACCCCTCAACAGCAAAAATAATCAACTGACCACTCTGTATATGTTTAATAATAAAACCAAATTAAAAACATATTTTCATAACTTAAATGTTTTGTTTTATTGGAACAGGTTTGCAGTTTTGTCTCTGTTAAAGCCAACAGCCATAACACATGCTGTAAGGCGCAGAATTGTATATGTTAACGCCAACGTCGGCACACCAGGCAAATAACAGCGTGCTGTAAGGCGTATTGTTTTTTTATTGCGCTGCTAAGCAGTTCAATTGTTGACAAATAATAAAATTAATCAAAAATGGGAAATCACAAGGTACTTCGGACCGCTGGATCCAATTTGCGGTACTCTATGTATGAGTTCATTGATGCCGTGCACAAGCGAACGATTATCTGGGAGCGACGACACGCAAACTTCCATAATCGAGAACTGCGGGATCAGGCCTGGCAGCAAATTGGCCAAGAACTTTGCAAGAACTTTTCATCAGCCAGTGATGCCGAAAAGAACGAAATTGGTAAGAATATCACACAAGGAAGCACTGCAGTTGGTTGAATTTATCTATAATTGCAGTGAAAACCTTAATGAAGCGCTGGAAGAACACGCGCGACAGCTATTTGCGGGTGTACCGTATGCGACAAAGTGGCAAAGATGTGGTGGTGCGGGCATCCTACATATACGAGCAAGAGCTCAGCTTTCTGCTGGATGTCAAGACTGAGACCGAAGACGATGAGGAGCCCCTAAAGGAGGAAACCAAATTGTCGCTCAAACGGAAGCGCCTTTGCACCCAAAGAACGGCAAGGAAGCGGCGAAGCTCAGAGGAGGAAACGATAACCGAGCCGCTGACCGCCTCCAACGTTTCTTCATTGCCAAATAATCTGCATTCCTTGCTGGGTGATCTGGATAACTCAACGCATCCAGATTCTATTGCTTCCTCCGCCAAACGACCAGCAACTCCGTTCACAGCAGACTCCGCCAGTTGGACAAATGCCTCGGCGCCACCTTCAACCACGGATGCCGATCAGGCGTTCTTTGATAGCATTAAGCCGCATATGCAAAGAATGAAAGCCGATCAAAAGCTCGACTTTCAAATAGAAGTACTAAAAATTCTTCGCAATTTTAAGCCAAATTAAAACGAAAGCTATAAGAAAATATGTTTTTATTTATTTGTTTTAAATTAGGTCTACCACTTAGCAGTGGCATTACAGCACTTGCTGTGCAGAACAGGAACCGTAATCGTTATCGGTTATCGAGTAAATGAATATCGCGCGAAATTTGAACTACTGTAAGCATTACTTGGATGACCCTGTATGACTGCTTAATGAGCTGAATAAAGTATATATTAGAAATTATCCAACTGGATTTTAGTTTAGAGTTGAGAGATTAAAAGCAGTTGTATTTTGTTTCAAATAAAAATATAATAAATATAAATACCAATAAGATGGCTCTAAAAATCTATTGCAAATAGGAAAGAAAATTCCAATCCCATATTCTTCCCTCACATTTCTTTCGAGCAAATCCAATCCTAATACATGCTTGTCACATGCAGCAATATTTTAGCAAAACCATAAACTGTCAAAAAGATACATAAGCCATCGGATAGCCGGCCGTCTCCAAAGCGGTTCGACCAGTTTCGGTTTATAAATAAATATAAAAAAAAAAGAGCTTAAACCTGTATACCTTGTCTCTTTTATACCAATCGGGTTTCCTTTATGTATACCGATGATTTCTTCATGGTTTTTTCTCGCTGAAAAACTTACACATAACTATGTATATGTATATGTACATGTTTATAGTCAATGGTCGCCACTCCAGACTGCATCCTTTTTAAAAGTAATCACGGTGGAAACCGTTAAGGTTTCTTCCCCCTCAAGTCAAATAATTTCTGATTTCGGTGTCGGTTTACAGGGGGAGAGTTTCGAGTTGTACCACAGTTGACTCCCCATGTGGTACGGTACCCTCTTAAACCGCCCTCAAAGCCTGTACATACGCTGTTAATAATTGTATTTTTAGTAGTCTCCCCCCATAACATTTCCCACTCAACTGCTGCTGCATATATGCACATATGTATGTAGCAGTAAGGATGATGGACGATTGTATTTCGTGGTTGTTTCGAGTTTCAGGAATTTCGAGACTACGATCGGGACCCGACCCGTTCCCGTTCTCCTTCCCTACACTCACATCACATTAGCCATGCCATGGGCTCTGGCAGCTGTTGTTTCAGAATTGTAATGCTCCCTTAGCGCTGTGTCGCCGCCTACCTGCATTTGCTTCGCTCGGATAATAACGTATTCCCAGTTTGTGTGTAACGTATTTTCGATCCCATAGTCAGGGAAAGCCGAGCCGAGAGGGAGATTTAGGTCAGATGAACGACGAACCCCTGCGCTGTTCTGTGCTGTGTCCTGGGTTGATGCCATGCATGGCATCCTATACCTGTAGCAATCCTGAGCGTTCTAGTGGAACCGAATAATAGGCAGGAAGTCCCTTTGATGATTTTTATTTCTTTAATTTCAAGGGTTCCGACGGCACGGCCGCCCTTGTTGCTGGTGCAGCAGCGATGCTGGTCTTTGTTTGCTCTTCTGCTGTCCCTGCCCTTATAACCTATGCACTACCATCTAGAGTGAATCTACGGGTGAAAATGTTTGTGTGTAAGCCTAAATACAAATGAAATCTCAGGTTGAGTTCGAGTTCTCCAATAGAACCACCTGTGTGTTCTTATAGCTCGTCCAGGCGGTCTCCGCCCGTTGTAAATACTCGTTGATCTCCTGCCGCTTGCCGTTCAGCTCGTACTTCTCCAGGGCCAGCTTGAGGAGTACATATTCAAGGGAACGAACGCCCCCATTGTTGGCGGGCTCCCTTAGAGCATCCACTAGGCTGATAAACTTCCGCAACAGCTCCACGAGCTGTCCAAAGTTGGAGAGATTCTCAAGCGTGGCATCCACTTCGTTGACGTAGCGCAGGCTCTGCTTCAGACGGATGGCGAGATCGTTGCTGCGACCCACCAGGGGAGCCAGCTCTGCGTTTAGCTGCTGCACCGACCGCCTGGCCTCCACAACCTTCTGCAGCGTCGCATCATTGTATTGCTCCTTATCTGTCCACTGGCCGATTCGAGACACTGTCGTGGGCTCGTTGTCTATCACGGATATTTGATTGTTCTCCACAAGGATGGTTTTGTTGATGGTCTCGTCCCCGCCATTGGGCGGCTGCTTCACGTGGAAGTCCAGCGTAAAGTGGAACCGCACATTAGCCTGCAAGATATTGTCAGTTCAGATTGGCTGTATTGAAACGGTTGAATGTTATGTGTCCTGCCTGAACCATGGAGAAGGTGCACACAATCAGCCAAATGCTGGATGCCACAACAGCCACAGAGAGAGACATCTTGCCGGGAGACTGGGAAATGTTTGACTGAAGCCCTAACATATGTAGATCACACCACTAAATACTGATGATAGGAGGGGCCTCATCATTATCGGCCCAAAAGGTCACCAGATGGGTCTCATCATTATCAGCTGTTTGACCGATAAGAGAAATTCATTCAGTGAATGCCTGACGATAGCCATAGTGTGGGGAGCGTGCAGCCGTAGGTTTCTAGTCACGTGGTTTCCGAGATGAAAAATTAAAATCATACTGGTATACCCAGGATGGATTCAAATACAGCTTTAACTGCACGTAAGAGCATGCATTGTACATGCGACATTGTACATATGTATGTACATTTGTATGCATATATGCACATATGTGCATACACATACATGTATGAAAATCGTATTCAAATTTGTGCTCTCACGTGAAGGGCCACACCAATCGCATTCATACGCACACCCATACAAGGTAAATAAAAGTCTTATAAACGTCTTTTATTGTACAAGTCCATTGAATTAATACAAAATAACCCCGCATGGTTATTTCGAATTCATGAATCATCCACCTTTATTTTTCGGAACTCGTTTCACACAGCCATTTCCGTTACGCGGAGCCATGAAATTATTGTATTTTCACAAGGGTTCAAAATATGTTCAACTGGGGGTTTTAGCTTATCAAAAAAAAAAGCTAAAGAACAATTCCCAATCGCTCCTATTTCTGTGTGAACGCGTGCAATAATAATTAAAATGTACACAGAACCACTATAAGCGATAAGGTGCGAACGGCTATCACATCTAGGGAATACATACATATGTACATGCATACATACATATGTATGTACATTTGTCATGCATGTATACACATGCGAAAGCAGAACAGGCGACTGTGATAGGGGGCCAACCGAAGAAAAGCATACAACAAATAACAGGGAATCAATAATAGAAATTGCGCAGCAAATATAAAATTATTCCATAGCCTGGCAAAAGCAAAAGCAACAAAAATAAAAAATAAAATAAAATAACCGTTGACACGAACGCATATCACAGACTTACATACATAAATACATTTATATGTACATACATATGTGTGTGTGTGCAAAATATACAGACAACCATTTGTAGATAGTACACTCATGGTACAAATAATATGTACATTAAACCTTTTATTTAAAGCTGAGTCGTAATTTTCGACCCTATGTTTTATGTTTAAGATATATATGTACATACATACATATGTAATTGCTTGTTATGTATGTATGTAGGTTCATAATAGGAACCACAACCACCCAGACTAAATTCCTATCAGATTCGCTCAAGTGGTGGCTGAGTACTTAATTGTTTAAGCATAAGTGTACTCGTACATATTTATGTATGTACGTATGTACGTATGTACCTCATACATATTCGAATTTTGTATTCCATTTTATTTTTATAGTTTTTTATTTGGTTGAGCATTTGCGTACTCGACTGGGATCGACGCAAGGGAGGGAAGACCAACGGATAAAACTTGTAAATATGAACATCCATCTTTCGTGAGTATACAACATACATATGTACGAATTTGTATGTTAGTATTCTATATATGTACATACAACATATGTACACACGCTCTCGCGTGTGGTATCTCTGCCTGTGTTCGTATGTACCTCAAAGAGTCCAATTGCGTAGAAAAAACATCTACCAGACCCAGTCCCCGGCACTGTCCACGTCCCGTGGTGCACACACAGTTTGTGTTTTTCCCCGTCTCGTTTGATACCCTGCAGAAACTTGTAAGAAGTGCATGTTCATCACATTCAATTACATCTCTTTTAGTGCGCTCCATCAACATCTACATACATACAAACATACATATATTCACTGAAAAATTTATTTTACCCGCTATTTACCATTTCTTTGATGGACATTTTTTAGCAGACCTTCATAATCGTGTCAGAGGCTGTATTCGGTTTTACAGGGTATCCTCGTTGTCGCAGCTCCGATTTAATCGCGCTTACTTGTTTTTGTCTTCAGCTTTTAGTTTTTGCTTTTGTTTTGCTTCTTTTTTCCCAGCAACAAAAATGCAAAAACTCTCGCAATCGCGAATCTAAGCGGACGTGCGAGCGAGAGGGAAGCTTTTGCGTCGTGGTTGTGCAATGTATATTAAATAGTGGGGTGAGACATTGCACATATGTACATACATACATGCTGGGTTTTGCATTCAAAATGTACACACATATGTATGTATCTATATAACAATTTTTACATGACAACAGCGTCCTCAAAGGATGTTCGGCTAGAAAATAGAGGATTCTTTCTCGGCCTTGCCTTACCTTATAGATAATATACCTTAGTTTGTGCTCTTTCACTATACAAATACATGCAGACACACTATCTCACACACATTTATCGTTCGCAATTAGCTTAAAGCAGCGCCATAAAAATAAAAGAGTAGCGGTAACAGAAAGCAAAATAAAAACCAAATTCTTTACGCTTTTGATTCGCTTGAAGTTTGAATACATATGTATGTACATACATACCGAAGTAAATATATACATATGTACATACATTCATGCTCTGTTTGTACATAAATATATACATATGTATGTACGTAAGAGGGTGGTCTGAAATCATTTGAAAACAAAAAGTAAGACTGCGGGTCTCAGCATAAACTCAATTTAACAAAGGGGAAAATGTGTACACAGGTACATTTACTTCTGTTCATATGTATGTACATATGTATGTTGTTTGTGCATGTTTGATCGCAGATGTATGTATGTACATATATGTGTGTATGTTGCATGTAGGCATTCATGTACTTAAAACGTAACCAAGCGGTAAACAACAACGAATCCGAATTTAAAACCGCAGCCCATTGCCAACTATGATTCGTGCCGTATCTGTCTGTAAATCCAGTTTTCTTTTGCGACACCGATTATAAAGAAATAGAGAAAAAACTAGAGAAGAAGGCTAGCTTGTGGGGCCGAGGCCTTTCTGATACCTTAGGA